CACCAGCCACGGTTCCAGGCTGCTTGGTACAGGAGCCAAAATACCAACCCTGAGAGCCATGGGATGCATCCAGGCTAGGACGGTGAGTGGGGCACAAATGCTAGATGGGGCAGTCTGGTTATCTGGTCAGCCCCATAGTTCTGGGAGTAAGGATTGGGTCAGGACGCCTGCCAGCAGCTGATGGCTGTTCCTCCTATTAATCAAGCAGGTTTTCCAAGTTTATAAGTCGTTGTAGATTTTCTCTTTTCCCTGGCCTCTCTTCTTGGGTCAAGAAAATGTGTACGTCTGGAGTCCTTTTGTTTAGCTCTCGGCTTGGGAGTGGGAAAAAGTTACTCATTGCTGAGCTCTCCAGGGAAAATTTAATTTCCTGGGTCTCCAGGCTGGTGATTTAAATTGGTGTCACCTAAGGGTTTTCAGCAAGAGCACCTAGGAACCGAATTGGCGGAAATGCTACCACAAGGTACAGGTACGTTTTCTTCGAAAAGCCGAAACAAATGTAAATGCTACCGAGATCGTCAAAACAGAGCAGGAGCTGCAGTTATTTTGTGTGTACTTTAGCGTTATCTGTGCTCATCAGCCTCCCCACTCTTCGGCTGTCTTTGTTTTCATTTTCGCATGAACACAATGATGGTGCTTTCAGACAGAGGTATTTCAGGCACTACGTCTTACGCAATTTGCTCTTAAACAGCTGAGACATGGGTGCCTATCTGTGTATGACAAGGATTAGTTTATTGCTTATTTAATAGAGATCTTGAAAACTTGTTTATAACTGTTTACATGCAATTTTTTCAACAATTCTGATTGCCTAAGGCTACGGCATGTTCGCTGTGCTTATGCGCAGCGTATAACCCCCATGTGGCCCCAGGCAAATGCAGTGGTTAAAAGATTTATGCACTATGCGGATAAACAAAATCTGGGAGAATTTCCCCGAGGCTTTGCCTGGATCGGCGAAACGGTGTGATTTCAAAACGTGATAGTTAGTACCTGGCATTTCTCATAAACGCTGCCTCGGTGAGGAAAGACCCCTGTGGGAGACCCAGTTTTAAAAGCAACCCCACCGAGGCAGGCGATGCCCAAACCATGGTTTGCCCCCGGTAACTTTTTATAAGACCCTTTTTTCCTCGTGTGGATGTAACCTGAGGGAATAAATGCCTCCGAGCCCTTCAAGAATTTCCCTGCCTGGGCAGCGCAAACAACGGAGAGGAGAATTTGGGGAATTTCTGACGGAAACAAGCACAGCGCTGCCACAACGCCACAACGTCCTGCAGACCCTGAGCCTGTCCTAACCCTGCTTAAGGCAGGGGCTTCACCTGCAGCGTGCTTCACACTACACTCTGGAATTAAAGAGGGGGGAGAAGCCACGGAGGGGGTTGACCTGGAGGGGTTTAGGCTCTGTTTGAGCCGGGCCGCAGGCCGCCGGCAGGCGGGGGCTGAGGCGGCGGCGGGGCCGCGCCAGGCCCGCGGCTCTTGGCTGCCGCCCGCCGGCCGGAGCCGGCTCGGCCCGAGGAGGGGAGCCCGGTTTTGGGGCGGGTTTTGGGGCCGGTTTCGGGGCAGGGCGGCCCGGTCCCGATGGTTCCTTCTCGGTGGTGCCACGGGAGCTGTCCGGCTGGGCTGCGCGGCCCCCCGCCTGCAGCCCCCGGCAGGCGCTGCCTGTCAGGAGTGAGCAGCATCCCCTGGCAAGGCGTTGGGTTAATTCGTGTTAATAAACCAGAACGGCTGTCAAATTTTGTATTAATAAACCATAAATGCCACTCTCATTAACACAGCTCCTCTAATGAAACATCTCCATCACATCACGCCTCATGGCTCAAACCCACACCCGCATCTTTTCAGTTTTAATATCATTTTCCAATAATAAATTGCCAGGTTCGGTGACAACGGTTTGCTGTGGGATCCCCCAGGTGCCACCTCCATCCCCTCCTGCCATCCCTTGTTGTGTTGCACTTTCATCCTTGTCACCACAGCACGCCTGCGTTGAGTGCCCACCCCATTAAAAGGACCGAGCTTCTGCTTCTCCCGCTGTAGGCACCTACTCCAGATCCAGCGTTTTGTGTTTCACTGCATTAAGACACTTGTGCAAATTGACCTACCTCACAGAACAGGCCACGCAATTTCATATAGTTGCCTTGCGGTACCATTTTGGCAAATTTGGTGCTGACTGTAAGCAAGATGGATGACTTGTGCGTCTCCTTCAAGATGATTCCTCCTGCCAATGCTTGCAGAATGTCTCTGGAAAAAAAGCTTTGACCAACAACTGCTTTTCAAATATTTTTGTGCCTGTCAGTTAATCAATTCTTGGGCTATTTAATTTGGAACATTTATTTTTTCCTGTAAATCATTAGATTAAAGCACGCAGTTTGCCAATCTCCATGTGTTTTTTATCAGTGCAGTTACCTCTTATCAAACATGACTTTGTCTAAGAACAAAAACGTGTGTTTGTTTGGTTTGGTTGTTTGTTTTTGGTAGGAAGGATGCTAGTTACATTCAGATTTCCCTTCATGACCCTTTCCTCAACTAACAACCATCAGTGCTTCTCCAGGTTTCTGAATTTTCCCAGTCTTCTGAGATAAGAACGGATTGCAGGAGTGGTCAGCCGTCACTTCTGGTGCTTGTGGTACAAGTTTCCTGCACGTTTTAATGAAACAAAGCAAAATAATACTAAACAAAACAGTCTTTCCCTCTACTTTCCCTCTAGCACAAATCTAACTTTTTTTTTTTGTTGTTCTGTAGAAAAGACTGTGAGGTTCTGTATCATGCTCATATGACAAATCTACCATCAACCGTATACCAGTATCTTGCTGCTTTCTGAATGCAGAAGAAACTATTCATTTTAACATTTGCCTTTTCTGTATCACTAACATTGGCATAAAGAAACAAGACTACATACTTCATTTTTAATGTGTTTTTTTATGATTTTGTTTGTTTGTTGAGGTCTTGTACACCTCAAAAACACTTCAACTCTGCTGTTTAAGCCTTCTTTCCCTACTGTGTTTAGCTTTCTCACTGCTAAACTTCATTAGTTTCTACTTTGTATTTATTCTTACCTGTTTTTGTTTCCTTCTGCTTGTTAAATAATGCCCTTACTGCCAACACCTACATTTATTTCCCCTTTGAAGTAGACTTTGCTTATGTTGTTCCCCTCGATTCGTGGCCAAGAGCATGAAGTGTGAACACTGCCCAGCCCAGCCGGCTTAGCAGCTAAGGGGCTCAGTCATTGCTCATACGAGATCCTTCAATTCACAGCTTTACTTTTTGCAAGGTGCACTCAAATTAGCTGAGGAAGAAAAAAAAAAAAAAAAAAAAAAAAAAAAAAAAAAAATCAGGACATAATGCACTGAATCCTATAGAATACATCAGAAGGAAAAACTGCTGAGCTTGATGGTACAATCAGCTGCAACTTTGGCCACCTCTGTTCAGGCATCAGCAATGGTAAAATAAAGGTTGTAGATGGAAGTTAGATCTAGACATAGAGATTTAGATGGAAAAAATATATATATATTAAACAAGCCTTTAGGTGCACAAATCTGTCTTTGGGTGCCCTGTGGTCACATTCTGGAAGACTTCAGGAAGATGAAATGATTTGATGCTGAAGACTGCTGGCCAAAAGCAATCATCTAGAACAAGGGCTTTTTAAACTCAGTTCCTATTGAAAATGAGTAAAGAAACAGAAGCAGCAGCAACCTTGTTTTGAAGGGAGTTTGAAAAGTATAAAAATGATATTTCATCCCTATTTTTATACACAATTGTGCTACCCTTTCTTTTTCTTTTGTTTTTCGATTTCATGAAACTGTTTGTTGTCTTCCGATCTGGGAAGAGATTTGCTATTACTTTTCTGTATTGATTAAAAAAACAACTTTTTGTTGGTTGAAGAGAAACTGATTGAATGAACTATGCTAATTCTTACCTGTTTTAAACCAATCTTAAGGACTATGAGTTTCCAACTTTCTATGGAAAGATAGGGCAGCAAGCTAACTTAGCAAGAACTGGATTTAGAGCAAATAAAGTAGGTATTCACCTTGCATATATTTCTCCCATGGAACACATGGTTAGTGATACCTTACATAGGTTCAAAGTGGGCACATTTTATTCAAGCAGAATCCATAGAAAGCTGTTAAATACAGAGATACCGTTTCTATGAAAGTACTGTATGCTTGCTTTGGTTTATGCTTTTTACTCGGCATATGCTACTGTCCATTCTTCTAGGTTGGATACTGGATTTGATTGGGCTGTGGCATGATCCAGAACACCTTTTGCATGTTTGCATGTACATGAATCCAACTGCCTCTGCAGTCCTGTCCCACTTCTCTCAGGCATTGTAATACCACAGTATGTGTGTGCTACAGGCAGGTGAGACACCAGCAGGAATTTCTCCCATACCAACATAGCTTTCAGCTCAATGGGCTTGCACAGGAAATCTGAGAAAAACATGGAGAAAGGTCAGGTTGTCCTGATCCCCTTATTGTTCTCCCTCTCTGTTTACTTCTAGGCACTCCATCTTGCACTTCTTTAAACTCTGCTGTTCAACGTGCTGCTTGTGAGAGGGAGAGACTTTCTTGAACACATCACAGCATAATTTAGTTTCCTGGATTTTCTGTAAGCCTTGTACTGACAATAGTTAAGATTCTCTTAATAGGACCCCAATTGCTTTTATTACCAATCAGTTACCAGCAAAGGCTGCCCAGAGGATAAGTGCTAGTGCTTACGCTCTAGCTAGCTGTGAGCTACTCAATAGACATACAGGATGAACCTTTCAGAGGAGCTTATGGCTGTATCAATATTTGCCAAAACAGAATATAAAGTTTTGTGGTGAATATATGCAAAGGGCTTCACAAACAGCACTTTCCCCAACAGAATTTGTGAGTGTAACTCAGAAAGAGTTTGTCTGCTCCATGCAAGTGAGCGGAATTTAGTTGAGGACAGAAATAGCACAGCCATGGGTAAATCCAGTGACATTATTCGAAAACAACTCTGAGAGAATGGAGACTAAAAATCGCCTCTAATTAATACTTAACAATAGTTGAGGATTTATTGACTTTTCTGTGAATATACAGTTTCTGTTAGCAATATTTAGATACATTTTCTCAGAAGTTCTTCATGATTAATATTTAGTAATTTATGATTCGTTTACAAGAAACAAGGCACTAAAATGCACGGTTACTCATCCTTATTACATACTCTGTGAGTTTCAGACATACAGGAGATTCCTCTCACTTAGACAATTACTGGCTCTTCTCTTCCAATGGTGCTTGTTGTTGCCTTTCTTACATCCTCCACCATTAGAAATTATACATTTTAGAGCCCTACTTTTGTCTCCTTTTAGTTGCTGTTTCTATAGCAAAGAATTTGCTCTGATAATTAGCTATAAAGATAATGAACATCCCATCCCTCACATTTCTAAGGATGCAGATACACTACCTGTGGGCTGCTTAGAGATTCAAACTCTAACATGGTTGTTATGTATCCATTTATTTATCAATTAAAAAATGACAACAAAAAATAGCTGTTTAAAGGTGCAATGCCAGAAGCTACTTCCATGCAGGGCAGAAACAGCTTTGGAGGTATTTGAGGCACTAAAATACTAAACCAACACTTTCAAATGGGTGAGAAGGCTGAGGCTGACACCAAGTTAGAAAAATCAGATTAGCCTTGTGGCTAACCATTTGGCTAAATCAGGGCTGGGGCTGAAATAATGTATCGTTTTCAGTACAATTTAAAAAGCAAAACCCAGAAACTTGCTAATAAAAAGAAAAGACCACAAGGGATACCATCTAATACCCTATTAAGATATTTAGTACCAGAAGGAGTGTATATATTTTCCAGTCTCTTACGACAAATAGCCCAGGACTTAAACAGTAGTTCTCGTTTAGATGCTCACCAACTATAAGCACAAACACTATACAATGTGATTTTATATGCTGTTAAAATACAACAGAAACTAATGTCACATAATAAATACAACAGAGTGTAAATAAGGAGTGGATTCCTAGTTATCTGAGCACTTACACAAAAATGACAAAGAGGAGCACCTAGATTCAATTTTCTTCTTGAGATCCCCAAGCTCTAGTGCTGCCAATGCTGTAGAGGTCAGATTTTCAGTTTCTCTGCATTGGGACTGTAGTGATCCTGAGCACTCTGCACACCCATGGAAATATCAGCACTTTGGTTTTCAGAAGATTCTTGCAGTCTCTGTGCCCAAATTAATTCAGGTGCTGGTGGAATATACATGAAAAATGAAGGACGTCTTTGCAGAATTAAAAATGTGACATTGGAGAAAGAACCTCTTTCAGCAACCTTGAATAATGCCCTGAGTCATTGCCAAGTTAAAGTGAAAGCTAACCTTTTCCCCTTGGAAAGACAGACTTCTTCAAACCTGGCCAGCATGATGAATGATAGCTGGAGAGACAGCAATGCATCTAGAAGCAAAGTATTTTTTATAACGTTTTTGCCTCTCAGGGAAAAATACTTCTGCAAAACTGCACAAATTTTTGGAAAAGAGAGGTTCTTACTCATATAGCGGTAAGAGTCACTCAAAGATCACAGGCAGAAAAATGTTAAAGAAAACCATTATGTGATTGCTCTTGATCAGCAATGTATATGTGTTTTTGCTTGTAGTCTCAGAGGTTGGAAATTCCTTAAGATACCCAAGAGAAGTGGGGCTCCAGTGCTCACTGGAGTTTGGTAGGGCCCAAAAACGTAGCTAATCCGCTCTGTTGAAAATCCCATCCATGGTTACTAGAGCCCGTTTTGTCCAGGGCTCTTGAGGCCCCTGCTGAAGACAGTGGGAGCCCCACCAGGTCAGCAACTCTGAAAAACAGGTCCTGCATCCATGCTGGTGTGGCTGGGTGCTAGTTGGTGATAAAATGGCTTGTGCACGTTATGACTGGAAGTCCAGAAATACAACCACAAGAAGAAAGCTATGAGGACTCTGCCTTCTGGCTCTGGGGAACCTTCTCAGGTACAGATCTAAAACACCAGGACTTTCACATATCTAGAACCTGAAGATCAGATCTTTCATTATTTAACCTTAGACTCTTCAGGGGGAAAAAATGTGGAAAGTAAAAATAAGCAACAAAACAACACATATAGCTGAAAATATGAAATATTGGACAAATATTAAATCTATTGTTCATTTTGTTGAAATTATATATATCCATGAAGGGTGTGTTCAGCTTTATATAGACAACATAGGTGTGGGCATTTTTCTTTCTTTTTTTTTTTTTTTTTTTTTTTTTTTAAGAATGCAAAATAATTTGATGAAGTAGCAAAGATTTTACAAGGAAGAGGTGAGTGTGCCTGTGTGAAATATATACTGCACCCATTAACCAAATCCTAACAGAAAACTCAATCTGTCAGACTGAATCTGTGATAATTTATTGCTCTTGGTAGTTGAGCACTTGACAAGATATAATTGTAACCTATCCCATGATTTGGAGGATTTGAATATACAACAATTAAAGAAAATTGCTTACCACCTGAAGCCATCTTTTACAGATCAGTAAAACAAACCACTGCAGTTACTACGCCCAGGCTGGCTTTTAAGTTGTGAGGGTGTGCGGGCTTGAGTCTGCTGCACCATGGGGCTTGAGCCACCCACATTGTGTGTAGGGGAAGGGTTCAAGCCTAAGTCAGGCTTTTTCCCTGCCTGACTTTTCCAGGCTGGCTCCCTGACAGTGCCTTTGTGCCAGGTTTGCACAAGCAGCCCTAGTAGCTGTGGGGTTTGGACCAGAATGAGGGCTGAGATCTCGACTTCTCTATCAAACTCACGGCAACACCCAGAGAAACCTGTTGGCTTCAGTGGGACTATGGAAGTGTGAAATGGAAACAAGCAATTAATTTACCATCCATGAGAGGAGTAAATGTATGATTTAACCAAGAATTTGTTGTAAATGTCTGAGACAGATGCAGGTACTGTTGTGGTCATTTATTGATCATACCTCTAAACTTGCCACCTTGTTGGTGTGACGAGGCACCTCAACGATACACTTAGCAAAGACTGTCCCACTGGCTGAAGACCCTCATTTTTTATACAAATCCATCCACCACTGCTGATTTGGTAATTGGAAAAGATGCAGGCACACTTCAGTGCCAGGCAACTTGAGAACTGGAATCCTTCCCCACAGTCCCACCAGCATCACCTCATCACCACTGCGTGCATCCATGAGACAGGATTGCATTCAAGAGGAATGGGACCAAATCCACGTGGGAAGCCTTCTTAAGCTATCAGCCAGCAATGGCGTGCATCATAAAGCCCGGCCTAGTCTCAGAGCCCTTATGCAGAGGCAGTACTTGAAATCAAACCAAATCAAAACAAATGCATTTTGGAAACTACCGCAGCTTTATTTGGCAAGTACTTCTCATTACACCTCATTTAAGATGGAAAGTTGGAGGTAAGGCAGTATTTGGATTGGATATCATTGTTCAAGCAGTGGTCGAACCTCTGTATTAGGTCAGCAGTGATAACTCCCAGCCTGCCATAATTTTAGTGCTGGTTTAAATACCAAATCCATCATACTGTCTTCCAAATTTGTATTTGGAGTCTCAGTATGTGACAGTATGTACAAAATCTTTTTCAGAAAAACAGAATTTATCACATGTGTGTGTCAATTCAGACTTCGTATAGCCAATAGGCTTGGAATTCAGAAGCTCTCAAGCCAGGAGGCTCATTGAACTGAAGGACAGTTCTGTGGGAATACAAAGGTATCTCGTAGAAGAAAGCAATTTTAAGCAAAACGTCAGTCAGAGTAACAGGTCAGAATATCAAAAGTCCAAAACTTAACAGAAGCAGAATTTTGCCTCCACATTTCGCTGTGGCACAAAGTACATACTGGGGATTCAGCTGGTCCACTTGTGGTTCGGTACAATTCATGGTGTAATTGTAAGGAAAGGGAAGGGTTTTACACATGACCAAATGATAGGCGGAGCATGAGGAGCTTATATGTCACCTCATTAGTGCCATATAAATAATAAACTACAACCAAATTGGCATATAATGCCAGTTTCCAACCCAGGACTGTCCAAGAACAGCCCCTGTATCTGAGAAGAAATATCTGAAGGCTGGTGGAATACAATCAATCTTAGGTTGTGCTGAACGCAAACCTCCTTCTCTCTTGCCAAACGAATTTGATTAATTAGGTGCTCTAACAATCAGTCAGAAAGTGAAGCACACAACTATTCTGCAGCTGGACTGAATAACACAGGGAAAACAAGCTCAATCAACATTTTTTAAGAACACATTATTTAATTAAGGACTGTCTAAAAATCTATTGTGTTGTTTCTGTTAGAGTTCTCTCCCTAAATATATGTGCTTATATAGTGTAGATTTTAATTTAATTTAATTTAATTTTTCTAGCCAGCTCTTCTGATGAGGCAAGATTGTTTGTGGCTATCATGAGTGCTGAATTCTATTTTATTTTATTTTTTCCCTTGTGGCTGTTTTAATGGGTTGGGAACTAGGGTGAGTTAAAAGATTTGGGAAAAGTGATTGTTTCTCACTGTTAAATAGGTTGACCATCCAGCAAGATACACTGTACACTCCCTCATCAACAAAAAAGTTTTATAACCCAAAGCCATGTGGCAAACAATCCTTTCCTTTTCCTTGTTGTATAGCTGATGCCATTTGGCTGGCTACATGCTGGACAAATTTCACATGCTTTTCTTCAGTGCATAGCATGTGTGTCTGGATAGCGTGGGCTCAAAAAATTGTCCAAATTCACTTTACTGAGGAGCGATGCCTAATAATTGTGGCAGAGTTCCTACTTGACACGGTCACTTTTCTTGTTAGGCACTTGGAGCTGCCAATGGTGTGATGGAGGTGTCCAGATCCTCAAGGGCAACAGTGATCAGGAAAGGTGAAGGCCATGCACGGAAATTGTTTGACATACATGAGTGTTATCTCTTAGGACAGCTAAGAACTGTCTTCACTTCTGACTCTGAAAACTGTACTAGCATTTATTTTAATTTAATTTAATTTAATTTATTGCCTTTGTAAGTTTTTAATTTGTTCAGTGTTATTAACATGACTAATTACGTGGGATGCTTAATCCTTTCATCACCAGAGCAGCGAAATGCTCAGGGCCACAGCTGGGAGTTTTTTGTTTCATTGCTCTTGTTTTAGGCCCAGAAATCTGTCTACATTTCTATATGCATATCTTAGTTGTGTAATTCCATGAAACAAAACAAACAAACAAACAAACAAAAAATAAAACCAACAAACCCTAAGAGGCAACATCCCTTGTAAATCAGCTGCACAGAAGTTATTCTCAGATACCAGAAACAGAGGTCATTGCTTGGTTTTACTGTAAAAATACATTATCCTATGCTTATAGATGACAACAACCTTTTTCTTTTTATTACATCTCTCTCTATTTCCCTATTTCTCTTCTGCGCATTATCCCATCAGCTTGTTACTTGATTTATTTCATTAACCTAAATGTATTAATTTTGGTACATGTTAGTACTGACTTTGCACAGAAACATTTCTGAATAGAGACGAAGTTCAGGAAGAGTCATGATATGTGAGTTTTGCATTTAACTCCTTTGAGAAGAAATAGAAAATTATTGTGAAAAGACAGCCAAGAATGAAACACAAAACAAAACAAAACAAAACAAAAAAAAACAGATGTATCAGTTATGTAAGAACAGCTTTGAACAAGCTAGCTCAAAATATGAAATCACAGGACTTTACTTGCTTAAATAAAAATGTTATTTTAAGATTTACATGTAATACACCTACCCCCAAAGTAACAATATATAAATGTGTAGGAATTTTTCACTTCAACCTTATAATGAGAAAAACAGCTGCAAATACAGTGCTGTGACTACAGAAATTCAGCATGAATGGAAAGGGAAGCATTAAAATGTAAGTGTGGAAGAATGAAGAGGATGCGTTGTAAAAGCCACTGTAGCTATAAGCAATAAAAAAACAAAGTCTTGGGAGACTGTGAACATTTAGTATTGCGAACACGCAAAGATAAATGATCTTCAGACAAAATCCAGGACTACATCCTCAGCTGCACAAGATGTGGTGTAACTCAGAAAAGGGTAGCCCTGGGCCACGATGCATTTTGCTGCTCACGGGGCCGCAAGAGGCCTGCTTCAGCCCTAGTGCTGAGCTAGGCCCCACTGGCTGCACCTGCCCCCAGCATGGACATCTTCTCTGAGCAATGGCCCAGGAGGGCTGGACATTTAGCCCTGGCTAGAGATATCTCTACTGTGTAGGGAGAAGTGTCACGGAGAGGATCTGTGGTAAACAGCAAGATCCCTTGCTCTGTGGTAGAGCAGCTTGGGCCCTGAAGGAAGTACGACCATGGGCTGCAGGAGGGGTTACTTCTTTGTCAAGGTCAAGAGCCTTGAGGTGAGGCTCTGAAAATCTTTCAGAGACTCTTCAGCTACCTAGCAAGAAGGAACTTTGTTACCAGAAACCCCAAACCTAAATGAACCCCAAGGATTTATGAAGGATAAGTACCAACTACACAGCTTGAGCATCCTGCATTACCTCTGATCCTCATGACTTTGTAGTCACAGACTGTCCCCCTAGAATTACACAGAGCTGGGAGGGAGAAAGTGCTTCTCCCTGTACAAGCCTTTCCCTACACTAACCCCTTTCCAAAATCCTCTTTTGTGTTTCCTAGCCTATGCCCAAAATGCAGAACCATGTGGGCAGATGTGCAGAAAAGGCTAAGTGACCATACGCTATGTGGATGTGGAAGATGCCTGTGAGGAGCAACCACGATGTGATATAGGCAGCCTGGCCAAGAGATGGAAAAGAGCATAGTGTATAACTCTGGATGAAATCTCCTGCACATATTGGTAGTAAAAAAATAAATAATAATAATAAAAGGGGGAGCAGATGTAGGGAAGAAATGCAAAGGAAAAACTTATCAAACAAAGATGATTTATATCAGATAAGTTAGGTGATCTCCAAGGAGAGACAGTGCTAGTGTCTTCCTAAGAACAGAGTCCGAGAAATATCCATATCTGCCTGGTGTGTTTTTTCTTATGGAATTAAACAGGGAGCGTTTGGCCCAGTGCCTTTTAATTTCATTCTTGCCAACAACTTTATAACAAATCCAGAGAAGAATAGGTATTTTAGCTGTAGTTTATATTTGAAAAAAGTTGGGAAAATGCCTATTTAGTTTGGCCAGATGTTTAATAGGAAAACACAATGATATGAAAAGTATCTGAATGATGTAACCTAAAAAAAAGTCAGAGGAACAAATTGACATTTTCTGGGAGGGCGATACTACAACTAAGAAAAGTTGGACAAAAGAAAAGACTAAACCTAAAACCAGAGGAACTGAAAACAAACAAGCAAACAAAACCCCGCATTTCTCATGTCATTTAAACTCCATCACAGCAATCACGTTATAAAGCCATTAGGTGGAGAAGTGAAAGCCTGGCAAGGAGACACATTACTTCATCATGTTGATCTTTGACATTTTTCTATCAACCAACCTTACAGCAGCCAACAGTCAACCACAGATGGGAAAACAAAAACCTGGGTCTTCTGTAAGCCCACCACAACAGCATCTTGGATCATTTGAGTTAGGTGTGACATGCCCATTCTTCCTCTGTGTGTGTTCTTTCTTTTGTATCTTCATCTTGGTTCTTTTTCATTTTTCTCCCATGATTTTCTTTCTTTGAAGTAGAAGCTGAATTAAAAGGTTCTATTGTTCAGCCTAAGAGCTGTAACTTTTGGGTTCAGAATAGGTATGTGTACCAAAATAAAGACATTGCCTGAAAACAGTCTGAAAACATGCATACTTTAAATGACTTTTTTTTTTTTTTAAATACAAAAATAAAACAATCTTTCATGAGCAATGTTATAGCTTCCAGGAGTCAAAAGCACCCTTATCTCAAATATCATTGATTTTCTCTGGACTATTCATACCTCACCACAAGGCTATTTAGACCTGGATTGTCCCTCCATCCTTGCTTTCTTCACATTGCTGAAATTGTCTCCACTGGTCACCTTTGGCACCCTAGCACACTTAGTTTTAATGACAGAGTTTTGAATTATTTTCACTTTGGAGCAGTGTGGAAAGAACCCTGTCACTGGCTAAGAGAAATATCTTTCGTATCTCTTTTCTGGATGGTGCCTAAACAGTTGTCATAACCACTCAAGTAACCGACTCACCTTCCAGAACACAGAATGCAACCTCAGAACAAAAAGGTCCTCGCTCCCGTTCCCTGCTTTCTTTTGCCTCTACCCTTACTGTGCATCATTGTCCTACCTTCCAATATTGTTTCCATGCAGCAGACAAAAAAAAAAAAAGGGGGGGGGGGCCATAATTATATCTTCCTTTGGGAGTCCTCCGCTTCCTTCATACAGCCAATTTATAAGAAAACCGAGTCTCCTGTCAAAAAGATTTGTCTTCAGATTTCATACACGACCTGCTCTATGATCCTGCAGCAACTCTGCAAAAATAGCCTTTTTTTTTCCCTCCGTAATATAAAATAAGTTGCGATAAATCACTCCCTTTGCATTTGCTGGTGTTAGCACGTTGAAGGGAGCAGTGCATGTACCGCAGCGTTAACCACTGTGAGCATTGTGGTTGATAATGGCAGTGCTTGCAAAGATGAATCACCAGCAGGGAAAGGAGTTCAAAGGGAAAATAATAATAACAAAAAAAAAAATAGCAAGACCAACTGCCAAAACCCAAACCCGAAACAAATTGCACCAGAAAGAATATCCAGAGAAGAAACAGGAGTGTTACTGGGAAGAACAGCATGTTTTCTGCCATACCCTAATTTAAATATGTTGCTCTCTTGTTTAGATGTGACCTTATTAATCGTGACCTAAAAATACATTACTGAATAACGGGATACTCGGGATTTTCATTGAAAATATATGCTTTCCTTCATTTTTTTTCACTGCTTCAAATGTTGGCCGTACAGCTTCCTACAAAACAGCGTTTCACGCATCAGAAGATCTTATGAATCTTTATGGAGTTCTGTATTTCACATTTTCTTAACCCTTGCCCCACTAGAACAAACGATTGCCTGAGGAAGGATTATCCTTATTTGTGCTTTCCTACCATCGACTATTCTGGGCCCCCAGACTCTGTGGGGGCCTTCACGAGAATGCTTTCATACAAATCATTTCTGTCACCTCTCACTGACAGCAAAGTAAAGAAATACACCACCTTAACACACAGGACAGAATAAAACAGAACTCCAAAACAGGAATAATCCCCTAGCTTACCACCCAAAGCTAAGAAGGCAAGTCTTAGCCTTCTTTCTAGCAAGGCCGAAATACTCCAGTTAGGTGCTAAGTATTGCATGGGGAGACAGAGGGAAACTTTGCCAATGGACTAGACGACTTGCTACGTTTTAATAGCTTTACGAATTGTTAAAAAGCTCTTCCCCTCAGAACGATTCCATGTGCTGAGCACACAGCATCGGCAGCAGCACGCGTCCCTCCAATTTCAGTATTCTACTTGAATACAAGACAGGCCTGGAAAAGAGAGGACAAGCACAGGGGCTTCTGAGGAAGAAGTCACCTTCTTTACAACTTCATAAGGGTCAAGGCTCAAAGAACACGAGGGCCACTCCACAGCCATTCTCTCAATCAGCCAGCCAGATAGAAAATCACAAGCAAAGTGCTCAATTCCTACAGTGTTGCTTTTGCTACTTCCTTCACTTTCACATCTTCTATGAAGAGTAGGTTGCAGACTACATTAACCAGAGGCTAAAAGTTTGCTTTGTTTTGTTTTTCTGTGCTCCAGCATAACATCTGTCAGCCACTTTTTCTCTCAATAGCTGAGAGCAACCTTTGCTTTTATTTAGGAAATGGTAGATATGAAGAGCTGGAAACCAAAATAAACACTATAACCTGATGTTTAAAGCTGTTACATTTTTTCAAGAATACCCAATGAAAGAAGACCCGGAACACCTTAAATTTCAAAGGATATTAGGGTATTCTGAGAGAAAATATGGTCACATTTTAGAACACTGTGTATGTCTGAAAGTCACAAAAGTCAGGATTACCTACAAATGAACAGTACCGTTCTGCCCTTGGCAGACTCTACCAGTGTTTCCCTAAATGTTCAGCATCAAAGTGTGTTCCCTATCAGCTGGGCACCTATCCTGTCACTGTACATTCACATTAAAACACCCTCTTTCCAGTGCGCATTACTTAGAAATGTGCTCAGTCAGACTGACTCTGCCACTTTATGCTCTATGGTGAATTAGGAAAGGGTCTGTTAAAGGATGATACAGGCCACTCTTTTGTGATGGTCTGCAGTTTTCTCTCCCAATACATTTTCTTTTTATTTAGCACTTCCATTTTTATCCTGTGTTCCTCTTCAGCCATCTCACACTCTCTTTCTATTTGCTGTATTTTTGCCACATGAACTTCATTCATTTGGATTAACTGCAGTTGCAAAATTGACATTTGCTGATGATGCTCTTCCTCGTGCATCTTTTTCAGAGCACTTTCCTGAGACGCTTTACTTCTGTAGTTCTTATCCGCTGCTATTCTGACATCAGAACACGAAGGCTCAGGTTGGGAGGTACCTTCACACACTGGGAAATGTACCAGCTCCTTCTCTTCCTCACAAAGTTCTCTACTTGAGATGACAAATGACTCTGTAAAACAGAAAAGAAGAAGTATTATAGTATACCCCTCTTCTTCTTCAAGAAACATAAACTTGTGATAATATCTAGAGGTGTATACATCTAAACCTTATGCTTCTGTACCAGAATAGAGCAGTCACTACATGATGCTGTCCTATTATAGAGTACTGAGTGCATACTGATCTGAACTGAACCATTCTGGGCTTTGCTGATAGCCCTCCAGGCTGTAATGGGAGCTCAGTACACTAAAGCGAGTGTAGACATTTTTAAGTGGGCACCTAAAGTTAGGTGGCTGAGCCTGGAGCTGAACCTTAATGCAGATGTTTAAGCCAAATCTGTATGTGACCTGCAATCATTTCCTGAAAGGTCTGAGTGTCAGGTAAAGAGTCGCATCTACAATAACACCAACAGACTGTGGAAATATGGGGAAAGCTACTACTTACTCCTTCCTCATTATTGCTGCATATACCATAAACAATGTTGTATATTTTCTGGAAAACAATTATATTACTCTAATTTCAACAACATTCTACTTGTTCTACTGAAATAAAAGAAACTACTCATGGAATATAATAGCAACCACTGCAATTTATTGTCTTTACTTATGGTAAACACAATCATGAAAGAGAAAATGTAAGAATGTTATCTAACAATGCAATTACTCTTGTCTTCTTAGCAAGAAAAGTCTTATGTGGACATTCTCCAAGAAAGGACTGTAGGTATTCTCCCTTATACTCTTGTACTATTCTTTCATTGTATGCTTGCCAAACTAAGCAGAATACAGTACTCATTTTTTTTTTCAAAAATGCCATTCTCCAATGTGGACTACAGTGTGAAATATGACTCTACTCTTTTTAGTCCTTCTTGAACACAAAGGAGGGAAGACCTGTAGGGAACTCTTGCAGCAGATAGTTGTCTATCAATTTGCTGCTGGTGGGTTGTTTTGTTTTTATTGCTCAGGCCTTTTCCCAACAAAATGACACTTTACAAAGGATCAAAATATCCTTGGGACCCTTCTGTTCTCTGTAAAGCCAGTGTGATGCCTGCTGTGATGCTCATTCCAAAGCAGAAGATACGTCAAAAACTGATTTAGATAACAACAAAAAATAGACTAAGATCTCAGTTTAACTCTTGGGGGCCTAGGGAAATAGACAGAGTCTTGTAATATCACAGCTCTGAAATTACTTTTCTGTAACCAGCAGTCACAGCTAAGTGGATAGATTTAGATTGCTGAAAAAGAATCACTGGCAAAACCACAGACAAAACAAAACTACATGCATCATCACAACACCATTTATACCTTGACTAGAAGCATCGGGGTGATATTCCGAATCTTCTTCTGGTGGGCTCTGCAAAAAGTACATTTGCTCAGGCATTATGCTGGCAATCTTCTCCTTCCCTATGATGTGAGTATTTATAAGTGGACTAATACTTCTTTTTACCTTCTCCCGTCTTTCATGTGCCATTATCTTTTTTGTCCGTGCCTTGATATTCTCCCAGCATTTCTTTAGCTGTTTGAAGTCTCGCAGTGATACACTGGGCTGCGAATTGTATTCATGAGCTAGAGCTTGCCAGGTGCGTTGTTTCAGGGCAATAGTTCTTGCATCACTTTTTTTACACTCAAGTACATATTTGTACTTTTCAACCAGTGCAAGCAGCACACTCTTCTCCACTTCTGAGAAGTATTTAGCAGGCTTTATTATTTCGTTTTGCATTTTCTACTTTTTCTCCAGGAAGCCAAAAATCCTATGAAAACAATGTTGAAAACAAAGAGAAAAAATAACACATATTAGAACTGGTTACATTATCAAGTAATTGTGTTTCAGCAAACAACTCCTAAATATAACTTCTGATTGCAAAACACTTCCTTATCTAGAAAAGCTTGGGCATACTTCTACGGTAAATAACAAAGCATTCAGGTTAGATAGCATAATTATAGGCTGGTTTCTATTGCTACTTTAGTAGCTACACAGTTCCATAAGAAGTATATGTTAATGAGAAGATGCTTCCTGCCTTTGTTATATTTTGTCTTGATAGAAAATAGTTGGTGTTCAATTTACTTAGTAACTTGTTTTTAACACCTTGTTTTTCTACTCATTAACACTCAGAGAGTTTTCAAAGCCCTGAACCGTGGAACAAGTTCTGAAATCCAGCCCTTGATCGCTTCTGGTTTAAATCTAATGTTGTCTTCAGCAGGTTTGTCTTTCCATGGGTACACAAAAGACCCTCTTCTCTCCCTGTTGTATTGGTATAACTGATTTCTCCCTTATATCCTTTCTGTATTACTTCAAAGTTCTATAAGAAATTATATTTAAAAGATCTCTTCTTAAAGACTTATGATAGTTTGGTTCTCCCCCATGCTCAGCCCTTCTGGACGGACATCCAGCAGTGAGCAGGATCCTGGGCAGGATCTCACTCCCTCTCTAACTGTGCAGCCCCAATTACTTTCAAGTCTTGGGCAGAAACTTCTGAATAATTATGTACAAAGAGGAGAAGTGTTACTGTCTTAGCTTACATTACTTCCGGTTTTACTCATAAAACTCAGGGACGGAACATGCATCATTGGTTCATGTTGCTAACAGTCTAGAACTCTTTCCCAGAATGATTTTTCTAGTATTTTGCCTACTGTTTCTACTCCCTCAATGTTACCTGATGATTCAATAGATGTCACAGTCAGATTTCCTATTTTTCAGTCCAAATATTTTTTTTCTTAACTCCACTGCACTAGCATTCTCTTTGTGCCATCCTTGTAATTCCTGTCCTCCAAAGGTCTAAATACTTACAGTTATTCTCACCTCTTCCAGTGAAGGCAACTATTTATACTCACAAAGAAAGCTAACAGACAAGTTAATATCGAAATGAGTTAATATCAAAACCATCTCTCACATGAGAACAGGAATATTCTCAAGTAACACATGATAAAGGTCATTATAATCCATATGATAAAACCCAGAAAAACAAGAGGATCTGAGGGACATAGCAGGCTGTTGAAGAAAGCACGGAATAGCAAAGCTGAAACAAAGTGAATAGAAAATTGTAATAGTCTGAGTTTAAGAAACTACAACATACAGTTAAGTATTGCTAAGTCACTGGCAGCAGCTAATTTGTACCCCTAGTGAAAAAGAAGCAACGAGCACCCAGTTCTGTGCTTTATTTCTCTCAGTGCTTAACTGCACATCGACTGGACACTTGGAACCTGCACAGATCCTGGCTAGTCCCAGTTCTGCGCTCTCTGCTGGTGTCATGGGAGAGCTGGAGCTTTTGGAGCAGACAGAATTTAGTGGACAAAGGGCATGGATCCATAGGGAACCAGGCTTCGTTAGTTCTGCTGCTCACAGATCAGCTTGTTCTGGGGTGGGAGAAGGAGGAGGTCTGGGTGTAAGGAAGATGGTTCCCAGATCCAGTGTTTCCTCCTTCACACTCTACCAAGTTATTTATCAGTCTCTGTGAAAACTTAGGCAGTGCATGTGTTGGTGAGCAGGAATTCTCAAGCACCTATAATCTCAGAGTGCAAACTATGTGCGTGTAAACAATGTTTGAAGTATCACATACCAGTCATTATTATAACACCTAGGTCTGATACACAGAAGAGGACATCTGCTGCAGAAGTTCCTTAAATAAAATAATAAATAAACCAACAAGTCAAGAAATGAGCAATCTAAAATAAAAATAATGCAAACTGGGAACTTGGCTCCATGAAACAGCTCTCAAAACCCGTAGAGTAAAAAAGACCTATAATGAAATGGACTCTATCTGCTAATTGATTTTACTTAGGTACTTACTGTACCATTCCAAACCATTGAGCTGCTTTGGACAGCTGCTTCGGTGAAATCCTTGGGACTAAATATTGATGTTTCAATCTGTCTTAGCCTTAGTTTCACTGAGAGGCAGAACAGAAAGCAATCCCTCCGGCAAGTCATAAGATCCAATAGCTGATGACCCCAAAGAGCCAGGATCAGAGGTTTCATGGGTCTTCCACTGAGGCATGTAAATCTTGCTTCTAGCTTTGGAAGGGTGCGAGAAACTCAGACTAAAAATAGTGATATTTATGTGTAGAAGATTGCTTTAATTAGCAGAACAATGGATTTTCAGGAACTTTGGAGACTTAAGTTCAAAATATTAAACTTAATAATACCTGGACTTCTAGATTCCAGGTGCTAAATATTTGGCTACAAAGACTGTCAGAGATCAACTGATATCAGCAAACATTTAAATATTTCCAAATGTAACTTCATATATATTTAAACCCTATATATTAGGATAAAAGCTCATCTTTCCTGGTTGCTGCCACAGCAAACCCCTAAGTATCACATTAATACCCCATTATCACTCATTGATGTTATTTTTACTGTGATAGGATCTGAGATTCCTGAGTCATAAGCTCAGATGGTGTACGTTTAAGAGGGGAAACATAGGTTCTACTCTGAGAAAAATACAAGAGCCTTTCCCTCCCCCATACACATTCCTAACTACTTTTCCTAGACATGCACACTGCACTGGTGTCCTTTCCATGACAAAGCTAGGATTATGATTAGGATGCATAAAAGACCTCAAGAATTGCTGAAAGCAGTTTAATGCCCTTAATACAGAGGGAAAAAATGAAAATTCTTGAAGCTTCTTTTCAAGCTGTTACACACTCAGCCTGCTTACTTCATTATATGAAAGCCCATTTTCAATAAGGTAAGTTGAAAGCACTCTGAGATGTCAGAAAATTTACAGCACTGAGGATTTGCAGCAAAATACTACCGTGCATTTGTATTCACCCTTTTCTTTATGGATATCAATCACCTTTTGACAGCCCACTGGCTCCTCACTGGAATACAAGAAAGGACTCTCACAAAGTGAAATAATTTCCATTTCGAGGTTGAAAGATCCTTCCAAGATGTATGCCCAGTATAAAATTTAGCACATAAGAATCTGTGTTGAAATGGAAGCAGTTTATTGCATATAGCTCACGCAAAAAAACAGGATTGATTTGGGAATGTGATTTAGGAATGTGACTGCACATGAGGACAGCTGCACTGTAAATTCAAAGAAACAAAGAACTGAAAGCTTCTCACACTCTTACAGGTGCTCAGGCTGTTAGACTGTCCTATGCAGTAAGGAATCACTTTACCCTAATTATCTTCTTTGGCACAGCTCCACTCATAACTTGCTTTAAAACAAATCAGTGTCCTAAGTACCTCTCTCACACAAACCTCTATCACTTTAAAAATAACAAAAATATCTCCCAATTCCTGACACTTTGAAATGCTGTGTGGTGCTCTGCTCCTGAAGACTATAAAGAATGGACTGTGCTCTGCTGGAAGAATATCTTGGAAAAAAAATACGCAAGTGAAGCAAAGTACATATGTTCAGGAGTATGTAAATGTGTATTATTTTGCTTGCACACATCTAAACACACACTCATACTCCAACCGGTTACAAAACACATTTTGAAAAAGAAAATCACTTCATGTTGGCACATGGGAGCATGTTCAGACCCTGAAATATTTCTTTAGGCATGAGAAATGCAAGGAGAAAATTATGATGGAAGCCTTAACCTAAATGCGGAGGTTACTCTAATGAAAAACAAAGATAACAGTTTGCTAGCAAACTGTAGTCACTTACGGTGTGAAAATGCAATTCATTCACCAATGCTAACAGGATTGCTATCAGAAATAGTTAAGGACTTAAATAAAAAAAGTAAATGTATTTATCCAACTTAAATTACGGATGAAGTATGAAGCGTAATCAGCGATTTACAGCACTGGTAGCCAGTCATAAACGCTGTCCTTTTCATCCAGTGTCTGGGGGTGAAAGAAAGGCATGGGAACGCAACGACCAAATCCCGGCACAACAACAGGTTTATGTTTCATGTGGAGAATGGGAGAAGCAGCAGCAAACAGCCTCCTTCCTCCTCAAGCGTTAGGTTTTCCTCGCAGAGCATCCTTCCATCGGGCTGCTCCAGGCCTGACCCTGCCTACCTTGAGATGGGCAATCACTAGGGGATTAGATGCACATTACAAACATGAATGAGACCTGCAAGGAGAACGTGTCACATGCAATCGGTTAAAAAAATAAAATGAAATAAAAAATAATTAAAAAAATGCAGCGGAGTGCTTTTTATCTGTTGTAATGCAAATTCGTAATTATCACGGACTGTCCAGCAAATGAAGAAAACCAGCTCTTAGTTACAATTCACAGGGCTTTGCCTGCATTTCTTCTGGTGCATGTTATCTACGTGCAATGTATTATTATTATTTTTTTCAATACATGTCACATTGCACAGGCACAGACGGGCTGATCCTGGCATTCCCTGAGGCTATTTTACACGGGTCACCCCGGCGCCTATGGAGGCCACCCGAAACGGTCCGTGGCACAGAAAGGTGAAGGCTGCAGGTTGCTATTCCCACGGACCGCCCCAAATCCCCCTGCGATTCCCAAAAAGAGGCAGAGGCAGGACCCCCCCCCCCCACACACACACACACCCCGGGCTTGCCGCCCCCCAAGCGGCGCTTGCCTTTAGGATCTCCTCGCTCGCTCCCCTGGTGCCGGAGCTCCTGGCTCGACAAAGAAGGACGCTCCACCCAGGGCGGACATGCGGGTTGAGGAACATCTGAGGGAGGGAGGCAAGCAGGGAAGGAGGAGGGAGGGAGGGAAGGAAAGAAGGAGGGAGACCCGCCGTGCCCGGCCCCACAACCAGGGCGGCGTTCCCGGGGACGAGCCCACCCCTCGGCTGCGGGCTGGCAACAAAGCACCGCCACCTCCCTCCCTCCCTCCGTCCCTCCCTCGTCTCCTCACGGCACCAGCTCGGGCTCTGCCTCCCACAGCGCTCCCAGCGGCGGTCCCGGGGCTCTCCGTGCCGCCAGGGCCCTGCCACCGCCGCCACCTTCCCCGCTGTCCCCCCGCTGTGGCGGCGGGGAGCGGCCGCCATGTGGCGGCCCTGAGGCGGGCGGCGCAGCCCCGGGGCCGGGGGGGAGATCGGCGGCCGCCGGCTTTGTCTTGCTGCCGGCCGTGCTGTGCTGCCCGAGGGAAGCTCCAGGGGTTCCCTGCCTGTTTCCTGGGGATCTGGGCGATTTCCTGATTCTAAAATAATAATATTTTTTATGTTGGTACTTGCCCTAGGGTTGCTGTATCATCTCAAGCGCAACCATGGACCCCGAAGCTGAGATCAAGAAGCAGGTAAACCCCTTCTACTGCAACGTGAGTATTGCTCGTAACTAACGTGAAATTCAACTGAACCGAGTTTGAACTCTTTATCTTGAGATAAACCGGTGCCTTTTTTCCTTCTGGGGAATCCCTGACCATGTTTTTGGCCTGATACGTCTCCCTCACCTTTTCAAAAATAAGTTATTCCGGTTATTAGTACAGAATAACAGCCTGACATTCACCACACAGAGAGAATTTGTACAGGACAGCAGTTGTTTACAGCTGACATGGTTTTTAAAGCAGCCTTGCATTGCAGCCTCCTTCTTACCTGCGTTTGACCTGCTGCCAGCTTCAGGCTTCCTCAGACCAAAAGTCATCTTTCCTAGTCATCTTTCTTGGTTGTATAGCGAATTAATCCATGAGGAGAAGGTCTTTTGCAGCTCTTCCTCCCCTCTTAGCCTTCCTCTTTCAGTTTTGCTGCTGGCTCCCTGTTATCCGGCTTCGTTCAGCTTCGTGATTCAGAGCATTATGCTGTGGAAGCTGAAGGGAAGTAATGGCATCTTGATGTGAATGCATCGTCGTGTTGCATTCAAATCAAACGTGGGCAGTTTTGGTTATTGTACTGGTTCTACTTCTTGCTGAACACCAGACGAAACAGGAGCTATGTTCAAGTTGGCTTGTGACAGTGTTGGGTTGATGGTTTGCCCATTTTCAGCTCAGTTTTAGCATATTTAGATTTTTAACTTGGATCAGCTTTGCTTAGTAACCTTTATTGTACAATATTCCTGCCTACGTGTTCTCTAATCTTTTAATGTACTTTCCCTATTGTTGATCCTTATAAACTTACAAGTTTAGTAATTGCTCTATAATTTTTTTTGAAACCTCAGCAGAAAGTATCTGCAGTTCAGATAGTTAGGGTTCTGAAGTTTACCAGTTGTGAAAAGAATAACTAACTGTAAAGTTTTGCCATTACATCTTGTGCAAATATACAACACGTTAACATGAGCATAGTCTCTTAGTTTTAGGTAGGTTATTGCCATTGTTGATAATTTGATAATTTGCTAATGTTCAAGAAGCTGTGATGGGAGTTCCCTTCTAAAAATAGATCTTTATAGGTAAAAATGTTAAGGTTATTTACAAAATGTTATTTTTTTTCCCATAGTTTACCCAGGGCACTGGTCTGCTTGAAACAATCTTGCCAATACACCTGCTAAGTATCTTTGTCTGAGCAGGGGCATGAATACTAAAGCGTATGCTGAGTAATAAAACTTCTTTCTTGCGGTCCATTAGAGGCTCAAATGAAAAGAAACAAAGCAAAACATTTTCTTTATTTCTAATTGGATAGAAAACAAGAATGAAAAAAAGTTTGTGTGTTTCCATGGTTATGGTTTTTGTTTGTTTGCTTGCTTGTTTGGTTTTTCATGGAGATTTCTCATTTTACAGATTGCTAATACATGGTGTTACCAAAACACAGAGATTAGCATACAGAATGAGTATTAGAGTGGTCATTTGGGTTTGGACTCTGTGATCAGCTGTCTGGCTACTGCTGGACTCCATGCTCTATTTCTGGCTTCAGTAGCTCTTTAGTATATAAACATGACATGAGAGAGAAGAGCAGTGGTGGTATCTTGTATTCTAGAGCCTCTGCTTTTACATGGTTTTCTTTTATGCACTGATTCACCTCCCTGAGAGCCCATTTTCCTCCTGGGAGAAACTTCCCGCTGCTTTCAGCTGTTTTACACCACTGTCCTGCACAGGGTTGCAGGACCTCATAGGTTCACCTGCCCATAAATCTCTGGCCAGACCAGCTGTGGACCAGGTGCTTAGGGTTGTGGCAGGTAGACAGCAGTGCTGGGACAGTTTTAAGTTCTTAGTGAACCCAGGGTGAGATGCACCAGTTCCTGCATCTCCACAGGTTCTGCATCTTTGTGGCATTGACTCTGGTGAACAGGAGTGCCAGGGCACTGGAAACCAGCTGTGAGAAACTGAGAACTCTAGTCCTTTGTCAGGGTAGATGAGACTCTTGGATGATGATCCCATAGTGGAAGGGCATGGGATGTCTTGTGGGGTTTTAGTTTGTGTTCCGAGGCATGACAAAAGAGTATCTGGCACAGAAATGCATGGCTCAGGTATGGTAGGAGGATGAAATGCTTGCCATGTAAACGTTTTTGAACAGGACAGGAAATATTTCTGCCTTTGCACCTTGACCGTACTCTGGTTATGCGTATTTCAGTTTTTTTTAAAGCACATACAAGAAGTTACTGTGGTCACTTTTAAAAATAAATGTTGGGGATACTGTTATCTTCTTTGTATATGCATAAATCAGTCAAGTTTGTTTTTGTCTTTAATCATTTTTTACACACTCAGTGGACATCAAGAAGACAAAGCTACCCTAAAAGGATTCAGGGAGCAGGAATGCAAGGAAGCATAGGAATATGGCAACCCAGGTGTTAGGAAGATAGAGGTGTAGGTGCAGCAGGTATATTGAAATCTTCTGAAAGAATTTAAGGATCTTGAGCTCGTCTTCTTGTTCTGAGGCTTATATTTGCTGCTACTCTAGTGGAGAAGATAGGAAGATAGATTATGACATCTTGTGTTCTTAGGGTCCTTCAGGTGGGTTTTCTGCGTAGATATGAAGATTCCTACCAACTCATTTTATTTTGTTGTTGTTGTTGTTATTTTTACTTTTCTTTTTCTTTTTTCTTTTTACTTTTTCAGCACTGGCATCAAACTTACTTTGCTGTCTTCTGCACGTTTGGCTTTGTTATGTCAAGAGAGGCAATAATTTTATTAAATAATTAGTAATTTTAATTTAATTGAAATAATATTATGTTTCTAGATAAAGGCATTCTTTTGAAGTGGAAAATTAAACTTCAGCTCCTCATTAGGAAAAAAATAAAATCCTAATGTATCTGTTTCTCAGATTTATTCCTGTTGCTTTTAAAGATTTTTTTTATGAGTCAGAAATATTTGGAAATAAACCAGCTGTGACCAAAACACTTGATATGCCTATGAGTAAGACAGGCCCCAAACAGATCAGAGCACAAGTCTGTTAGTTTGGGTGCTGCTCTGAGAAAAACTGGCTTTGGACACGTGTATAGGCTTGTGACAGGAATGCACTGCCTCTGCTTCAGACATAGCTGATAGGGTGTGAGGAAGATCTTGGATCTGTCTTGGCTTATTCACGCAAAAATGTGCCATGAGATAGCAGCGGGATTCTGGTGACATCTGAAACTTTTAGGTGATGTGGAGATTCCTTTTCATCATACGGCTATTTGGTGGTTGTAGGACCTCATGAAGGAAAGTTCTCATTGAGGTCTAGTAAAGTTCTTTATTTTGTCTTAGAGAAATAATACTTTTATAGAACTTGCCTACACTGACTTTTTGATAGCAGTTGTGATTTGTTTTGATAGCAGTTGTATTCTTTTTCTGTTGGTTTATGTGCAATGCCAGAAATGCTTCTTCTCTTTAACCTAGATTTGCAAAATCTGGTGTGCTTCTGCATTAAACTTGCAGACTCACTTCCTCGGATTCAAGCATAAGACGGTAAGATCAGTTTCTGAGTGCACCTTTTGTCAGATTTTATAGATTGATTTAGCAATAGAACAGGGGGTTGAAATATCTTTTTTAGAGTGTGTGAGTTCAGATATTTAACTTGTTTTGTTACTGCAGTAAACAAAATAGTGAAGCAAAGTGGAATTATTTTTATACATTGGTACCATCAGAAAAGATGGATAAAACTTTGTGTCTTGTAGTCTGGATTAGTAGAGACAGAGAATACATCAGAATGCAGGACTGACAATAAATGCAGAATGGAATTATTTAAATGATAGACTACCTAGGGAAAAAATATTTTTGAGTATAATGTAATTTTCTTGAGGTAATCTAAGGTGTTAGTGTTAATCTAACTCATTTTATAAACAAAGATACTTTTTACATTGCTATCTTTTGAACCTTAAGTGACTGTTTTTCTTCATTGCTTGTTGATAATTCACTAACTTAGGTTGAAGAAGCACTGAAAGCTCATGGTATTGGTAAGTGCAAGATTTTTTTAGGTCCCATTCTATATTATAAGAGCACTTTTCTCCTTTCCCTAATGCAGGTGTTTATGAAACAAGAAAAACCAAATCTTTCTCAAGATTTGTGCTTAAAGACCTGGCCTGTGTTCTTTAGTGATATAACTGTATAATCTTACAGTGAAAAAGCAATAATGTGAGCAAAGTTTATTAAAATGCACTAGCTACAATACTAACGATTGCCTACATTTAAAATTTGAGAAACCTCAAAGACATTGAAGATTGAAATTAGGAAGTGTATTTTTAAATATATATATATAAATGTATGTGCTCTGTACACGCTTTATATTTGCTTTTTTAAAGATCTCATTAAAAATATCTTGCTGTCTAGCTGAAGCCAAATACTTCTAGTAGGTTTAATTTATCATTAAAACTTTTTATGAACTCGTCTAGCTCCACTAGGAATGAGGGTCATGAGGGTCTAACTATAACTTTTCCTGCTTATGTTTTATGATGCACCAAAATGTATTTACAGGTTTGCACAGTGTTATAGGTTTGCACAGTGCACTTCTCCTGGGATTTAGTTTGAAAGTTGTGGCCCAAGTATGCATTGTTGTTGCACCTACTCAGTCTGGGATATTTTGTACAGCCTTTAAAGCAAATTTAAGCAACTAGATATTTATCAGCATAGATGCTTTGAAATGTTTAGAGGTGAATTGGTCAACATGTCTTTTTTTTCTCTTCTGTCCTGCTCCCTTTTCCCGGATTGATTGCACAGTAAAAAATTTCTAGTGACCAGAATATGATTTATATTCTTAGTCTTTGTAGTTTTCTCTTCATGACAACTTGTTTCCTTTGCATGCATTGGTATTACACTACCCCCCAGTCACATCTTGTATAGATCTCTCTCCCTCTCCTGGTTCTTTGATGACAGGTCACATAATGTGCTTATTATCTCTGTCTCACCTTTCTTAATGTTCTGCAACCCCAGCCCTATCCCATGCTATATGCCAATAGAAAAAAAAAAAAATACATTGGGAAGTGGATAGGTATAGAGCTTTTAAAAAGGACAGGAAGGTTATTGGGCTGAATCAAGTGTCCTGGCAGCCAGGAGGTTTAAGCTTCTCAAGATCAGTGGATTTAAATTGAATTGCTGTGATGTATTGGATTAAAGTAGCCCTGAAATGTATGAAATAAAACTGTTAATTATAGAATAAAAGGTATGTGCATCACAGAGAATCAGTCAGGCTTTCTCCTTGTTGCAGGTTGTCTTTATATAAATTAAATTACAGTCAAAATTGCTTACAATTTAAGCTACTGTTTAAGAATTTAATTTTGTGTTGTGTGTTAAAACCCATGTTATGAGGTAAGTAAAGGCTGCATTGGTCTGCCTCTGCCTGCTTCATTGAATTGCCTGACATTAAATAAGTTTGTTGTTTGGTGTAAATATTTTTTATCCCAAAAAATCATGTAGCACGTTCAAAACAAATCATGTTTGTTGTCTATAGTTTTTTTTAAATATATATACATATATTATACCAAATTTCCACTTCTGTTTTTTGTGTTTCTGTGTGTTTTCGTTTTAGTTAAAACTGCAGGTGGCACAGGAGATCAAGTGAAAACACCTGAAAAACTTCCTGATTATGGTAAGAACGTTTAATGTTGAAAAAAAGAAAGTGTAGAGAGAAATTAAATGTTTTGAGGTACAGATGTCTAGATCTTAGAAGGTTGTTTGGAATTCAGTTCTATCCATTGTATTTCCCATTTACAGTAAATATTTTTAATAATACATAGAATAATATTTACAAACAAGATGTTATAAAACAAGTGAAAATATGATTTGGGGGATAAAGTTTCTCAGTAATTGACTTGATTTGGGCTGTGGGGCTCTTTATGAGCAGGGATTCACTTATACATAAATTACTTAGCATGTTTTCTCTAAGCCAAAGGTTAGAGTCAGGACTTTGTTTCATTTTGGAGATTTTTTGAGACCATGAAGACTGATGTGAGATGACATGAAATTGGTCTTATCTTACAGTGCAAACTGAGCCAGAGAGATTTCATGGACAGACTTTGGAAGAGCAACTTAACACATGTAAAGATTCAGAACCTGCACTCGGTGAGGGTTTTTAATACTGTAATTGCTTGCTTGTGTGATGTTTATCTTTAAAGAGTATTGCATTAGTTTTAAAAATGGAAGCTTTTAATGCACATTATCTGATTTTACTAGCTTAACGTTGAGTACCTAGTAGTATGGTATGAAAGGGACTGATCTGAGTGATAAAACTGTTAGATTTAGTCTAGAATGCTTATGTGAGTATGGTCTGTAGACAGTCTAAGGTGATATGATAGAAAGAAACTTGGACTTAAATGAGCGTTACTATTTTTGTCCAATTGTAGCTGCCAGTCCTGTGGAGGGAAGGGAGAGTGTAGTGGACCAGAAGGATAACTACAGGGACATGTATTAAAATGTACAAATAGTGACAAAAGAACTGTTGCTATTAATTTTTAAGGGATTTTTTTTACCATTTTTTCTGTGGTAAAAATAAGGCATCTCAGAGAAATTTGATTTTATATGTTTGATGTTGAAGTCTAGAGAACCAGAAAATGAAATAACTCATAGTAACGAAAACCTTAATCCACGTGTTTGACATGCAGTAAGGATAGTTTCCTTTACTATCTCTTCTGTAGCTAGCACTAATTATATTTTGGAGCCTAAGAAACAAGTAGACATCAAATTTCCTAACTTTTTTTTAATCAATGCAGGACTTAATTATATAATCGAATACCGATCAAAAGACAATTTCCCTTTTCTCTATGAGTGTCAACTGTGCCACTGTAAAACAGGACTGAGTAACATGTTCATGCACGTTTGTGGTTCCAAGCATAGACTGGCATACTTGGTAAGTTTTTACAGTACAGGTGTGTGTGTGTGTGTTTTTTTTATTATTATTGTTGGTATAACGGTTTAAGTAGAGAGTTTGCTAGTCAGATTTTAATAAAAGATCTGGTATTTTTAAGCTGTTACATAAGGTTTTGTGAAAACGTGTGTATTTGTACCACAGTCGTGGTCTAATAATGGATTTAAAATTCACCTCATTGGGAATATGTGTGCAGGTGCGTTGCTGACACTGACTTGTCAGTGTATTTTATTTTGGTTAACCAACAATGCCAAAAAGGAACTCCACAGCTGTAATTGACTAGTAGGCTTCTAACTATGTATTTTTTAATTACTTTAAAGAACTGAATCAGTGAAGGAACTGCTCCATCTTTCAGATGCCTTAGGAGCTCATGTTATTATGGGGTGTATTGTTTTGGTTCTGCAACAATGTCCTTCTTAAAGATCTCTCTGTTTGTTAATTCAGATGGATATTCTCAGTGAGACTTGTATTGGTGGTTTTCATGTTCTTAACACTTTTATTTATCGTTTACCCCATCTATGTTACAATATTAAATACTGTAAATGTAACAGGAATTCAAGAAGTATAACTTAAGCAGATTCAGCTGAAGATTCAACTTCAGTCCCCTTGGTTAGTCTGCAATTCTATACCTAAACATTTCAGTAAGTTCTGTTTTGTACACAGGTTGATTTTTCTCCCATGATTCTATCTTGCTGTGCTAGATCTTGAAAGAATTGCAAAGGATAAAGCATGACTTCATGATTTGCATCTCATTTTTTTTAGAAACAACATTATCCTGAGATAGCAGAATCTGATGAAGTTAAGGGTAAAGGCTCTGAACTCAACCGAAAAGTTAGGCAAGTTGCATTAACAATTGAGAAGAAAGAAGGAAGAAAACAAATAAAGGTACATTTCTTAAGAGTGCCATAAGTTATACACTTAGAAATAAACTGAAAAAAAATCTTTTTTTTTTTTTTAAACGTTTATTAAACGTGCTTTTGTCTCTTTAATATTTCTTCCAAGATTACTCTGGATACAATTTCCTATTGGTCATTCCCATCATAAGTATTTAAGTATTTCTCTTGTTTGAAATAATATTCATGCTATCTGACTCTACAGAAATACAACTCTAGGGATACCAAATATACAAAATATCTGTATTAATATTTAGCCAATTTCCAGTTGTGTGTGTGTGTATATAAAACAATTTAATTGTTGCTAGGAAACTACCTTTACACTTTTCTAGGTTAGAGTTTTGCTTTGTTAGCATCCTGTGGCAGTTCACAAAAGAAACAGATGAAAAAAATCTGTGATACACACAGGAAAGTGTACAAATTTGCAGGTGGATGTGAGGTGCTCTGCAATGGCATGGGCTCACAGGAGCACCACGAGCTGAAATTGTTGAGGGGCTGCACTATTAGAAGCACATTCTTATGAAGTTATCTTCATACTGCTTTCAGTTGTTGTTTATTCTGCAATAGTGTTTAGAAATGTTCACCAGCTTTATCTGGCCAGGATATTGGTGAAGTTTCTTCTTCAGGTGGACCTCACCACTTTGGTTCATGACAACTTAACTCAGGTGCTTAGTGTTCTTTTTGGCGTACCTTAAATTTGTGCTCTCCATCAGTTTCAGTGTATAAACAGCCTGCTTGTTAAGCGGTGTTTCTTAACAAGATCAGATGCTAGTAAGTATTCTTTCTGTACAAGCCCCAAATCTGTCTAAATTATGCAAGGGTTGTCTTTCAGCAAAATTGTAAGTGCTTAAATCTGAAATCTATTTGCATGCACACTATTATTATTTGCAGGCAAACAAACATACTGAAAGAATATTAATCACATTAGGTTGATGGAAATCATACATGCATATATGTATGTTTCAGATTTTTCTTCATGGATATAGAAATAATTGATTCCATTTATTTTGTAGACTGTTTTGTTTTTCCTTGAACAGTTTCACTAGATCCATAAAAAATTCGGTCTTGATTTAAGGAATGTTTAAGTAGAGGGTATATAAACTGTTATAAATTAATTTTATTGTGTTTTTTGTTTGTTTGTTTGTTTGTTTATTTTTTTCCCTGAAGCCAGCTATTTTATTTTTTTTTAAGCTCTTAAAACAGATTTAATTGTAGCAAATAACTGTTCAGGTAACTACTTTCAAACGTCTGTTCAGTGGTTTACTCTTGTGTGTACCACTACTGGTCATACCTTTAAAAAATAAGTATTTGATGAAATACCGAAGTTAAAATTGTATCCACAAAATAGCTAACATACATGGTTTTTATTTATAGGTTGTTACAGATGCCCCAATGATGAGGAAGAGATGGCAAGAATGTAAGTGTGCTCAGTGGGATGCAAATCGTAAACTTGCTGTGATTTAAGATAGCTTTCTTTCAAGGCAGGTTGAAAGATTTGGTCAGAATGGTAGTGTGTGCGTGTGTTCTGAGCTGCGTTTTGTAAGGTCCGTGTATCTTGAAACTTTAATGGATGAGCAAGTTCTTTCAGGGGCAGCTAGAGATACCTTTTTTCTGGCTCTTTGTTCTCTCTCTTTCCATTCTCCCACTCATCCTCAAAGCTTTCCTCACTTTGCAGAGTCGTTCACCTTTTTACCTGGTAACAGCTGTACTCTCTGCAGTGCCAGCTGCTCACAGGCATTTTGATGAGCTGGGCAGAATGAGCAGGTTGGACCTCAGTGTGTGCATTTAACTTGCAGTCCAGAAAGCCAGATGGAATCCTGAAAGCACAGCCACAGCCCTTATCTGTGGAGGAAAACTTTTCCAGTTTTACCAGCCTTTGATTCTCGCAAAGCTGTAGGAACATGGTATCTGTGAGACTTTCTTCACTCAGTTTAATCAATCTTCCAAAACTTGCTGTACAATACCATCTGGATGGACAGACAGTCCGACTATATGCTATTCCTGAAAATGGATAAGAATTGCTATGGCACTCTCATTCTCAGACGTGCATGGAAATATAGACTTGAATTAGAACTAACGTACATAATTTTATTGCATGTTAATGTCTAAACTGTTATTTAAAATAGCTCAGTAGAAGTAATGAGAAGAGTGTTTGTATAATGATCTCAATTAGCAGTGTCATACTCTGAAAAGGAAAGAACCATTTGGAATCTGAGAAGGGGTTTTGAAATAAGCTGAATACTATTCAAAATCCTTTTGTTTAATGTGCCTAATTTTGCACATGACCATGTAGCCTGCTACTATAATTTATAATATTTAATTATGTTAAGAAATAAATTTATGTATGTAATTGTAACCAGGGTATAAAATATTTAAAACTTCTAGTTCATATTTAATACATTATCACAGAATAATGCTTCTAAAAATTGTTCCTAATGTTTGTAACTGTTTCTTTTTGTGCACAGAACCAGCTAGTTAAAATTCAATTGCGCTTTTAGAACCACTATAACTAATTTCTTTTTCACCTTTATCAAGATAATGTCCATTTTGCTACATTTTGAATGTGTTTGTTTAGATCCTACTGCAGATGACAGCCCTTCAAAAGCCAAAGTTCAGCATGTGGATACATCGCTTAGTAATGAAGAAGAAACAGATAGCAAAAATAAGGACGGAAAAATGCCAGGCCCTATTCAAGGTTAGAGAATAAGGCTATATATATACATTTAACTCCTAACAAAGCATGGATTATTTCTTCTATGTGTACTTTTTGTATAATTTCTATAGCTATGTTCTGCTATAGCAGCAGCATGTACAATGCATAAATATGTTTGGGATCTGTGGCAGACAGAAAGAATAATTCTAGTGTTTGTAAAGAACACTCTCCGGGTCTACTTAAAGTTTCTGTAGCTGGATACTTCATAAAAATTCATAAGAAGAAGTTTTTGCTATGAATATTTCTATGAGAAGGGCCGCAGGCTTCTTTTGGGCACATCAGGCATTCTTCATTGTCAGGAACAAAAATAGGGAAGGGCTGTATGCCAGTCTGTTTGCTTAGGGCACAAGGAGAATCAAAAGGAAACAAATTGCTTAGATTTCTTTTGAACATCTAAAATATTTGACTAATGTTTGTTTTCTTGAAAACAAAACCAGATTAAAGTGTAAAAATTAGCAAATGCTTTGTAACTGAAAAAACATCAGAAGTTACTGCTTGGTTGTAAACTAATGTCAAAGGGGAAATTGGGCTACTGTCTAAATGCATTATAATTACTCTCATTCAGAATAGTTCTTACTAGAAATACAGACATGCTTCCGGGCTGAACCAAGCCTTTGATTTTTAGGTTCTGTTTTTATTTAATTTTTATTTCTTCAGGATACATTACTTTCACATTTAGGTTTTATTAATATTTTCTTTAAAATATGTGAGCAAATTTTAAATTAGTGTACTGGAAATACTTTTAAATTAGTTTACTGGAAAACCATTACTAACAATACTGTTTTTATCACTTTTGAAGAAAAGAATGTTCAAGAGGAGCTGGAAAAAAGTCAGCAAGAACAGGCAAAAACAGATGAGAAGGCTGAAACTAATAAGCCTATTGAAAGCAGCAAAGACAACAAGACTGAAGAAGACAGCAAAGGCAACGATTCTGAAAAGTAAAACAAAAAAATCCACCGCCCCAAAACCCCTTTAAATATACTCAAGGAAGCTGTTATAGGTGGTGTCTGCTGACATGGGGTTTGCAGTGTGTTGTGAAGAATAAATGTGTGCTGTAATAGGAGAATGTTTGTCTTCTGAAAGAATGTGCTTTTCCATAAGCTTTTATCAGCAACAGAAAATCTGGTGTATGTACATGTAAACTCACCTCAGATTTTGCTGTAGATGCAGCTGGTTTCTGTTTTAGCTGTGTTATCATTAAGATATAATCCTCATTTATCACAAATTCAAAAAGAATCTTTCCTAGTGCATTAAAAACCCTCTGTTACAGGTTCATGTTAGACAATTAGGGCACTATATGAACTATATGTAATTTTAGAAGGAAAAGATAATCAGCAAATAGCTGCAACAATTGGGCTATCATCTTTACAAAAGCTTTCATGGAGGAACAATAATAAATACTATATGTGGTTCTTAGAGAACTAAGCTGCTTGATGTTTGTAAAAGTCCTTATTAATAGCAGTACTGTGAGTTTAGTTTGAATTATTCACCTCTGTGTGGGAGAGATGGCTTCAACATCAGTTAACTTTGTGTAACACCAGGAACCACAGGAAAGCAGCTGATAAAGGATATATACACATTGATGAGTCTTACACATGTTATACCAATTAGTTCTTTGATTTTGCTTTAATGGAATTCTCTTAGAATGGTTCCTGACTTTATACCAGTTGCTTCTCTGTCAGACGTGAAGGGCTAGCACCTTTTTCTTATTTACTGTTAGCTGTAAAAGGAAAAATTTTCTTGCTCCTGAAATGTCTTTTTATAGGACTTCTCCCTCTCTGTGGGCCAACCAATCATTAAGGAAAAGGACTAATTGAAACAAGATTCAAGTCTAGGTTTATGAATCTTTATATTTATTTGTTTAACTTTCAAACAACTGTATTAGTTATTTGAGTGTAAATTAGTTTGTAAAAATGTCAAAAATAGGAAGCTAATACAATCTTGAGCATCCATGTTGAGGTTCTGAAAGTTTTACCTGACACTGATCGTCGTTGTGCAGTCCCATACTTGAAATTTTAAGAACAGAATCCTTTGGAAAATCACACATCTCTCATTAATTTAGTTGTTCAGATAGATCCTGGGTAATTATGAGCAGTCAGGTGTTCCAGCGAGAGACTAATTTGGAAGTTACAGTTACTAAAATAGCACTTCAGCTTGTTCCTTCCTGTTTATTTTTGTGAGACTTCTGAAATGTGAATTCAGTGTAAAGTTTCTCAAAGGGAGTAAGATCTGATTTTCATTTGACAGCGAGCAGTCAAATGATGCTTCCACTTAACAATTCTGCAACATCACTCTGAGAATTTCTGTTACTTTTAATTAATTATGAGGCTTTGTATGCTCAGTATTTCTGTGGCTACGTTATAAAATACTACTATTTCTGACCAACTTTTCGTAAACACAAATTTGTGAAATGCTGATAAAAAAAAAAACGTACTATAGTTAGGGGCATTGTCTTTCTGCAATGCATGTTTACAGCTTTTATTACCAATATCAAACTTTTTTCTTATCTTTGGGGTTTAGAATTTATGTAGCTAATTACACTAAAAAAATCTAAACTTACACTAAAATATATTTTATGGTTATATCTGGAACCACTAGGATGTCTGCAAGGAAATGTGTGACCTTTCAAAGTATACAGTCTGTAGTGTCAATAATTTAAACTACTGAGTTATTGACTGACACATCTTTGATAAATCAACCATTTGGAAGCTGTGTGCGTGTATTATTTTTATATACAACAAAAAATAACGTGTGTATTTTCTGTCTTAAGGTGTGAGACCAACAAACAATTGCAGGAAGAAAATGAGGAACTTGAGGTGAACATTTTTCTATTAATGGGTTGTTCCAGTTCACACACAGTTGGGAAAATAATTACTATGATATATGGCAATGCTGTTGGCTTTTGCTTATTCAAATTACTAATGTTATGAACAACAAACAAGTTACTAAGCAAAACTTTAAAAAAAAACACATTTTTTTCTGATTTTGTTGTGAAAACACAAGTACGTGTTTCTCTACTAGTACACACAATTTAATTAGAGCAAGAATCTAGAAGAGCCGTAGTACTTATTAGTGTTTAATTTTGGTTATAAATAGTGCATATAATAGATCTTGTTTATGTTAAACAGCAAGAACCTCCAGCAAATCTTGAGGAATTTACTAGTCAAGAAGAACTGTTGGGTTATTTGGTAAGTGCTAAATCTTTCCTGGCAATTTCATCTATGAAAAAATTTAAAAGAGTTGCTAAGTAATTAATATTTACTGATTCATAATTAGTTTATTAGTAATTACTAATTGATTACTAATTAGGAACTAGTTAATATTACTGAAACAGTTTGGTTGTGAAGAAAGGGAAGAAGCAGTTGTTAAGGAATAATGTGCAGGTTGTATATTTTGGAAACAAACAAACACAAAAATATCCCACCTATTCGCTTTGTTTGGCAGAACAGCTGAGTTCCATTCGGTTGTCAAAAATGTGTTGTGCACACATTTCACAGCAGGGAAGCAAACGGGAAAACTAGCAGTTGCTAGCTGTAACGTGTATTAACAACATTCACAGTCTTGCATATGGAAATGGTAATCTCATTAAAACATTAGAGACAAAATTAACAAAAATCTTAACTGGTAGTTACTGTGAGTCCATTACTGCATGGTAATTTTTTTTTTCTCTTTTTAATGGGGAAACTGTAAAGATTGTATCTTGCTAGTAACTAATGTGAATCAAGGCATCCTCTTGTATAGTGTGATTGTCCCCTAAAAACAGGGGAGGACTGTTGGGAATGTGATTGGGACAATGTTCTTTTGGAAAGTTTGAAAAATGTTCAATATCAACGTTTACAGTAATACCTTTACAAACTCCATGATGCATTTCTTTTGATTTTTTTTACTTTGATCTTCTCTTCCTCTTTTGAAACAAAAGTTGTCTTATGTAGTGGAAGGTAATTATACAAGTATCTTTATATCATAATTCCAGTTTTTCAATGATTATTCTTAATGAATATTTTTTAACTGAGCTCTATGTTCAGCTTTTATCATTAAAATAATTGGATCTCTTTCATTAACTGATAGCGGACGCATCTTTGCCCAAGTTTAATCTTCCTTTTCTTCTGATTTTTTAACAAGATACGACTTGTGCAAACCCAAGGAGACCCTTTATTAGTGTTAAAATACAATCTACCCCCCATTATGCTGTCACACATGAATTTATTGCTAGTTATTTGTGATTACTTTTTTCCTTTGTCTGGAGCGTTTGAAGATGTTTGCTTTTAATCTGGAAGACTCCGAGTTGTTAGGACAGACCTCTGCTTCTCTTCTATTGTGCCCAATGGCATTGTTTTCAACAGAACTTGATGACTATGTCTTTGCAGGAACATTCTTGGGTTGTTCCTTTTTGAATGATTGTAGCTGAAGCACCATTCTGTTAGGATCCTCTCCCATTTCTCTGTCTCTGTGACCTTGTCACCTCCCACTACAATTTATGGGATTAAAAATAAAAACTTTATTTACTCTGTAACTTCAGCCATATCTGACAGAAGGATGGAGATATAAAAACAGTAAGGTCCCTGCAGGAACCTTATACATTATATACATATATATACATTATGATACTTGTATCAAAGGCAAGGTTTTTATGTTGTGGATTTTTTTTTTCCCTAGCAAAGTTTTGAGATACTGAATGAAGACGATGCTGCTTTTATCCTAAAAGTAACACAGACTCTCACAGATGCACTGGTGGAATATCGTCAGCAGGCTGCATCAAAAAAAGTAATGTGGATTTGGTTTATTTTTGTTCTACAAGTCTGTAGATTCCTGTGATTACGTATTTTTATTGTTACAGATGGTTTATTTATAGTTAAAATTGCCATGCCAACCGTACTGAAAGTTGTGACCATTAAATGCTTGAAGAATTTTTCTAGTTATGATAGGATAAACTCATCACGTTTCTGTTGAGGAGTCTTAATGCTTTGTCTTCAAAGGTGCGTTTTTTCTAAAAATAGAGGCCAAAATTAATTTTGTCCTTTATTTCCCATGCTTTTCCTTATTTGTTTTTCTGCTGTTTTTACTCCCTTTTCAATCCTAACTTACAGTTTTCTTATCTCTTCTGACCTCCTTGATCATTTTCTCTTTTTCCTTTCCCAGTCTTGACCTCTCTTCGTTCACTGTGTAGTCAGACACTGACATCAATTTTCTTGCACAATTTTGTTCTGCTGTTAAAAACCCAGTTCCTCCCTGCTCCCGTCATTACTGGTGTCTGTGTAAAGATAAGTCAGTCAAAACATGAATGTTTTGAGTACTTCTTTGAGCCTGCTGCAGTAGCCATTTGTACTCCCTGTTTCTCCAGTTCACGTTATGCTCTATCTTCAGACTCCACACACCTAGAATGATTTTTATTCATTCCCCCATTGCCAACAGGGATGGCAGGAACCTCTAGCTGTAATTCATTTACCGTATTTGTCTTTGGAAACCCTTTTGCCTGCTAATTTGTCTCATAGAATTGTCAGTATTGAACAAAATTCTAATTTGCCACAACAGCTATTCCTACTAATATTAATAGTTACTTAATTAGTAACTATTAATAGTTACTTAACTATTTCTTTGTTTAAAAGATGACCCTGAATGGATAATGCCAAGTAAGAGTGAGTACCAGCCTAACAAGCTGGACGGAACCAGACCAGGTTAGATGAGGCCCTGAGCAACCTGATTTAACGGGTGGTGTCCTTGCCTATGGCAGGGGGGTTGGAACTAAATGCTCTTTGAGGTCCCTTCCAACCTGAGCCATTCTATGATTCAAGGAAAATAAAGTGGTTTTGTTGTTTTGTCTTCAAAAGCCTTTCTTAGTTCAGGATTTTGCTGTAAGGTTGATCTTTGCTCCCCGTATTACATCTTTCCTCCATTGCTTTCCATCTGCCTCAAAAGGCAGTATTTCTCTGTGGTAAATCTTATGCCTATAATTCTCTTTTATTATTTACATTTTTTTTTTTTTACTTCTTTAATAAGTTTACTTTCACCATATCCCCGCTGTTCTTTTGTATAAGACTTTTTTTTTGTTGCTTTATTCGTATGGAAAGAGGGCAGAAGTTGACATGCTACAAAGCCATCAAGTTCTAGCCAAAGTAACTTCTAATCTATTAGTTGTAGAAAAATAAAATAAAAAGTTTTGATGTGGGAAAAACACTTGAATACCCTAAACTGTGATCTTCCAATAGATAATTTAAAAAATCTTTTCAGTGTAAAGTGCTTTCTTTTTAGATCTGACAGGTAGAGAATTAGGTTGTATAAGTATCACTAGGCCTAATATAGTGCTTTTTAGATGTAGACAGATAACATGAGCAGTGTGTGCATCAAGGTTAATCACCAGCCATGTAGTTTTCAAAGAAATATTATTTTTTTCTCAAATTTGGTAGCAGAAATACTGATCTCTCATCTGTTTCTGTGGTCATTAAAATGTAGTAGGTTGTCATTTTAGGTTGTTGTGTTGATGAATTTCTGAATACATCTTTTTTTAAAATTCATAGGATCTCTTAGATACTGAACATAATGGAGAAGAAGTATTGGAACAATCCACAGAGCAATCTGACCTGAATTCTGCAGATATTAGTGATTCTGATACTGGTAATGTTAGCATTGCAGTCTTGAATGTGCTTTAATCTTAACACTGATTAAGATTAAATTCTAAAAAGCCTTTTTTTTTTTTTTTTTTCCCTGCTTCTTAAAGTAGAGCTTAAAAGCAGAATAAAGCTAAGGTCAAGTAACATAGATTAATTGTTGTTGTTTTCTTCCCTCATCCTCTACAGATGTTAGAAAGGAAAGGACAGCCTATTTGAAAACATTCATCCTGCTTAACTGTAGAATTTAGGGAGAAATTGAGTTAGTATTGACTCTGACTTTCCTCTGTCCAGAATCAATTCTTTCTAAGGAGTCTTTCACAGTGTAACTGACAGGCTTTTTGCACATCTTTTTACCTTCTTGGTGGAAAAGAGACTTAGTACAGATCTAGTCCAAGCAAGATGTTAGTGGAAACAAAATTAGGTTGTAGAGGATGGAAAATTCTGTTTAAAAGCTGAATATTGCCACTACTTGACTTCAATACTTGTACTTCTGATGCAATTTTTCAAAGAATATTGAATTTCTATGAGAGAATTTCCTTCTTAATATAAATAAATGGTTAGTTTTCACATGCTGTGTGGCAGGAAATGCTGTCCTAAACTTGGAGAGAAAAATGCCTAGAGAACTAAGTGTATTTATTTCGTATGTATTGTTGTTGTTGTTTGTCTGTTTTTTTTGTTTGTTTTTTGTTATGCAGTGACATTTTTTCTCCAAAGAACTTAGCTTTTGTAAACCTCAATACAATACTAATTAAAAAAATGTAATTGCTTATAACATGAAAGAGTTGGAACTTTTGGTTCCTTTTCGGTTCCTTTTCTAAGCCATAAGGAAAAGCTTTCACCCACCTGCCGCCCTTGTTTCTTCAGGATTTGCTGTAAATAGAAAGCATTTCTGACTCTCAGTTGTATGAGGATATTATTAGCAAAGCCAGGTGTGAACCTTACCAATGATGCTGTGTGAAACTAGAAATTAATGTTTTGAAAAGCCCTATTTGAATAACTAAGTAATGCAGACTGCTCAGAATCTTCTTCAACTGAAAAACAGTATTTATTTTCTTTAAGACTATTCAAGCAGACGATCAGCTAAGAAGTCCTTATCAGTAACTGAGGAAGATGAACTGCAAAACTTCTCAGCTGGCACTTTGGAAGCAGCGTATGAGAACAACATCACCACTGAGTTTTTGAACAGTGTAAGAAATATGAATCTTGAGGAAGTTACTGCTACTCTACACAAAATAGCAGCAGCAAACCCAGCTTTCAGAGGTAATTCACATATACATGAAGGTGCATGCAAACGCTTATGAAAATATACGTAACAATTTTGTTAGCTTTGTGAAACATTAAGAAGCTTGAGATATTAAGGAAAAGGTTTTATTCCCCTTCTACTTTTTTCAGGAGCCAGTTTAGGATTGGTAATTCAAAATGGCTGCACTCCTATGAAGGTGTTAATAAACACTTTTTTTTTTAAATTGTTTTCTCATTTGTGCCTATTAACATCTACATGGTAAAAGACAGTAAACTAAAATCAAACATATTGTTATTAGAAAAAAAAAAAAGAGAATCTCAACTGTGATAACTGGTGAAAAACAGGAGAAACAATAGGAAGAGCAGAAGTTAGGAAAGTTGTAAAACGTGATAAAGACAATTTATTAAAGTGACAGAGAGCGGGGAGGGAGAAGGGAACAGTGCACCCACCCCCAGCTTGTCTCCATGCCATCTTATTGCTTGCTGAGCATCATGATGTTACATGGTGTCAAATATTCCTTTGGCCAGTTGGGGTCAATGATGTTTTAGCAACAATTCCAAACCACAGCGCTGTTCAGGCTGCTGAGAAAGTGAACTCCATCCTGTCCAGAGACAGTACAGGGTTCTAGGTGGTCCTTGAAACTACCAGCTTTTATTGGAAAGCTGAATAGAAATTGTTTAGAAAAACAGGGTGGAAACTAGTAGACACCTGGGTAAATATGATCTGCTCAGGGTGCTGGTGGTGGGGATGAATACAGATTTTATGAGGAGAAATCCTTCCTTACAGACTTTCTGGAGTTGTTTGAAAGGGGTCAGTAAAGTAGTCAGTTAATAAACAGGTAGCAAATGGGCAATTATTTTTTACAGTGTAAGGAGGTTCCAGTAGAACTGTGGGCCTGTGCTTAAGGCCTCTGCTGATTAAATGACCCGGAAAAAGGGATGAGTATCTGTATGACAAAATTTTGCGATTGCAACGTTATTCAAAGTTGAAGTGTTGGTTGACTGAAGTTCAAATGCTCCTCATCAGGTTAGTGGAAATACCAACTTATCAGTTAGAAGAATAAACTGAATGCAAAGAATTAAGGAAGGAATGGAAGGCGAGAGGGGAGTTACTATTTTGCTGTCACATAACCTAATTCTTTGTGTGTATCTGGAATAGAGCACACAGTTCTGCTGCCATCATTTTGTATAAAGGAATTTAGAGTTGTAAAAGGTTTAGAAGTGTGCCGTATCAGACTTGAAAAGTTTCCTGATCTAAAGATGATCTGAGGTTGGGAGAACAGAATATTCCCATAACCCACAAGCCTTCAGGCACACTTCAGGTCCCATTCCTACTCTTCCCTTAGCATTTGTTTATGGCCACTGAGTGGTTGTTATTACCACTTAAGCTGACCCTATGTTTCTTCCAGTTCTCCCTTCCCTCCCTCCCTCCTCCAAAGTCAGGGGGATGAGTTTCATCAAAGCAACATTGAATTCTTGTGCTCTGAAGAGAACACTGACGTTGGTGCAGTGTTAAAATGGAGTGCTTCTGGTAATGTTTTCCTAATCATCAGCTACAGATCTTTGCAGGTCAGCAACAGATTAGAAGGGCTAGAGAGACCCTTTACTGAAACAGTAGAGCAGTTCACAGGAATACAGCTAATGGTTTCCAGACAATTAAGTAACACATTCCATTTTTTAACTGTTAGAGTGTTTTTCATTTAATAAGAAAAGCTCTAAATTCAAGTCATCATCTAAATGTTTCAGTATAACTTGTGCTTTAAAATGTATCATCAAACCACTTATTCTCTGTTTTTGTTTTTTTTTTTTTAACCTTTAACAAAGGAATTGATATTCCAAATGTTGTAAGGATCCTGACTGAAAGTGGGACTCTGAGAAGATCAAGCAATGGCAGCACACAGTGACGTGGTAGTTAGCAGAGTTAATATTGCAGTATTTACTTTCTGTAAGTTTGAGAATATTCTTTTACTTGATACGAACTCAATGTAGTTGATTTTACTATATCCAAATTCTGTACAGTGTTGTTTTACTTAAAAATTTGGTTATGGGGTTCCTGTTATTTTTTTCACATGGCTGACATTTCTGTATTTGTGGAAAGGTTGTAAAGTTCATGTTTCCCTTGCTGCTTAAGCATGTTTTGTTTTTTTTTTAAAAACAGGTTGCTGTTGTTTTCCTAAATATTTTTGCATTCTGTATATTGGCAATCTGGTCTCTTCGTATTGTTTCTTTCACAAAGAGTTAACAACAGAAGGGATAGTAGAAGTCAGTGGTTCAAATTCATGCTACAACAAACAGTTGGAAATTATTGCCTGTGGCTATTGAAATAAAAAAATCTCCTTCCATGTAAGAATAATGAATTGGTCTCCTCTGTTTCTAAATAAAGATGAATAACAAAAAGCCAGAGCTGTCAGTCCAGTTCTGAGCTGAGAAACGCATGGACTATAGGTAATTTATGTAGACTAGATAACTGGAAAATTTAGCAAATTCAGCAGAGGTTTACTTGCTTGCAAATTCAGAGATACATCCCAAGAGACGTAAGCAGACTATGGTTGACACACTGAAGTGGTAGTGAAAATATCTTCTGTCTTCTCTTGTATGACCAGTATGAGAATGAAGTGAAAGTTGGCTTATACTATTCTTCAGTTCTGGCTTTTTAAAGGTAAACTTTTTTTCACCCACTGTAATAGTCTTTTTGACTTAATACACGTGTGTGTGTATGTATATATATATGTAATATATACATTTATATGTATAAGTCCTATGTGTTAACCACTACTAATTTGGTAGGATGATAGAAAAATGTTTTGGATGGTTACAGATTAATGTGTTTTGGAAAAAAATAATTTTTTAAAATTAAATTGCCTAATTAAAATCTTCTTCCTGCGTGTGGTCTTGGGTAGTGTTCAGTGCTTCTAATTAAAGCTCTTCAGCTTTGCAGCCAAAAGCTGGTATAATGCAGACATGATGGGGCCAGATGGTAAATGAACCTTTTAATGTTAACTTAGACTTTTTTTTGGAGATCTGGATGGAATTGAGAATCCTCATCCTGGTGGTTTCACATCTTCATATCTTGGAATGCAAGCTGCCGTAAAAGAAAGGTAACAAAAAAAAAAAAAGCAGCAAAATAGGTTAGTTTTGTTCTATGAACAAACTAATCATGAAGGAATATGGTTAGTTGGTTAGTTAGAATTAACCACGTAGGAATGAAAAACGTTTCAATGACAATTAAAGAAATTAAAACAGAAAACGATTACTATTTTAATAAAATTGTGAAGAATTTCTAGAATGTCTTGAAGTTTGTTCTGTTCAGAAACAGAGATAAAACCAATCAGCTGTGCAGTTATTCTCCCCTTAAAACTTTTGTTTTCTGGTGCAAATAGAATCTGCAAAAGAGTTATTTTGTTTGGTCTTGTATCTGCCTGTGTTTTGTGATGTATATTCTTATGCTACCAGAAAACTACTTTTGTTCCACACAGTTTTTAAGGATAATATTTTCCTTGCATCTGATTTTTTTTTAAAGACACTATCTCTACTAGTGATGCTTAAGAAATGTTGCTGACTGCCCTTAATATTATGCACTGTTTGTTAAAGTAACACCAAGGCAGATATCCTGTGTATCTGGAGAATTCATCAAATTTAAAACTTAAGTAAAAGCAAGAAAAATTCTACCAACTGGGAACTGATTTTTCTTTTAGCTTTACCTTAGTGTAACATATTTTATTGAGACACCAGAGAGCTTGGGGGAAATTAACAAAATTGCAGAACTTGAACTTCTCTTAGAAAGCATAACGTGTGAAGGAGAAGGGCACTCAGGTGAATTGACAGGAAATGAAAATGTTTGAGTATGCAACAGAAGGCAAGCTGCCTGGTGTAAATTGTGATGTTCTCTGATCATAACTCTAGAGTTATGGAAACATCCTGCTCTTGTTTTGTTTCTGGTTTCTTCTAGGATTGTGATATGTCTTTCTGAGTTAGGAATTTATTATCCCTTTTGAAGCAGTAGGCCCCATCTTGTGAATCTGATCTAGGCATCGGTATACAAAACTCATATAGTGTGCCTGAGGGTTTGATACCATATGTGAAATCTGAAATGCTAATGCTGATTCTGCATTGCCTTCACCAAAGCTATTCTCAAGTCTTTTAATTGTTTTTATACTCTGTAAATGCAAACCCTGGGTTTTATTATTGCATTTTTGTTCGAGGAAATGTTATTATGTAACTTCATTTTAGAAATACAATTAAAAACGTTCTCATGGAGCACAATGCTATTCATCCATTTCATTGAAAATGCTCTTTTAGTAAGTGCCATGTTAACTCCTACCTTCTGTCACTGCAGATAGAGTAAAATCTAACTGAACACATTCAAATGACCTCCAGCATTTCCTAAAAAGATTCAAAGTAAATAATTGCAGAATGTAGGAGATACATTTGTAACCCAGCACCTTTGTAGTATTCTACCAAGCCCTTGCTTCCTGAAGTGGTAAGCAGAGGAGGTAGGAAACCAGAGTATGAGATACAAGTCAAGAAGTAACGTAGCTGGGCTCGAAGTAAACATGAAAATAATCCTAGTATTTACTACAAATAGGGAATTTGACCCAAGACAGCTCGTATTCTGGTAATTAAAATGATGTAATGCCTTGTGTGGTGGAATGCTGACATCTTTCACTGCTGTTGAACTTTTAGCAAGCATCCACCTATGTTCAAATGGTTCAGATCAAGCTAGTGTAATGCAATTACTTCAGCGATGTGTTCAAATTGTTCTAATCGATACATTAAGGCAAGTCAGAGAAGAAGGTAGAGTGAGAATCACAGGTTGCTTTAAAACTACGTAAATGGTTTCCTGCAAAAGCAGTGCTTTCTGTCTTGAAATTTTGTCAGGCTGCAAAGTGGAATACGTAGCTCTGAGTATCTTATGAATCATAGAATCATTCAGGTTGGAAGAGACCTTCAAGATCATCTGGTCCAACCATCACCCTACTACCACTGTCACCTGCTAAACCACATCCCTAAGTGCCAGGTCCAACCTTTCCTTCAACACCCCCAGGGACGGTGATGCCAAAAAAAAAAAGCTGGCACAAGCAAAAGAACACAACTGTGGAAGTACTCATGAAGTGTGAGTGGAATTGTACAAAATACTTCTTTTGCAGGAAGTGCTAAAAACGTCTTGCTAAACAAGAAGGCTGTCATCTGTCGGTGAACAGGTGGGCCTGTTCCACAAGAGACTGCTCTGCTGTATGTGTGTGTGTGAAATGAACCTGATTTAATCACGTTAAGATTTAACATTTAATCATGTCACATCAAAAGAGTGCACAGAGAAGGGCTGTGAGGCTGGTGAAGGGTCTGGAGCACCAGTCCTGTGAGGGGTGGCTGAGGGACCTGGGGGGGTTTGGTCTGGAGAAGAGGGGGCTCAGGGGAGACCTTATTGCTCTCTACAGCTACCTGAAAGGAAGGTGTGGGGAACTGGGGGTCGGGCTTTTCTCACAGATAAATTAGTGATAGGGGTAGAGGGAATGGTTGTGCCAGGGGAGGCTCAGGTTGGAAAGGAGGAGACATTTCTTGTCAGAGAGTGGTCAGGGGTTGCTCGGGGAGGTGGCGGCGTCACCATCCCCGGCGGTGCTTAAGAAACGGTTAGCCCTGGTGCTTGGGGACACGTTTTAATGGGTGATACAGAGAGGTACAGGCAGCGGGGCGCCATGAGAGAGGCCGGCAGCTGCGGTCCTCCAGCCCCACAGGCGGCGCTGGCGCTGGGCGTCACTCCCCGACCGCTGAGGCGAGGCGGCCGTTTCCCGGGCGGGGCGGCGCGGAGCGGAGCGGCGCGGAGCGGGGCGGCGGGGCCGGGGCTGCCGCGTGCTCGGTGAGGGGCCGGGGCTGAGGCGGGGGCGGCGGGGCCCGGAGGGGGAGGGGGGTAGACCTGGCGGCCGTGCGGCTGCAGCCCCCGGGCGGGAAGGCCGCCGGGGGGGGGGTGGTGAAGGGCTGGGAGGCGGTGATTGAGGTAATTTAACGGGTTGTGTGCCCTTAGCCGCCGGTGGTCCCGGGTCTGGCGGTGCTGTTTGGTGGGGGTGGGAAATGGAGGCTGTGGGTTGGCGATAAACCCGGCCCGAAATGCGCAGTGCGGGGCCAGCCGGGCTTCCTCCTGCTGCCAGGGGAAACTGCGCCTTGTTTTGGGGGTCTTTCTGCTTGAAAATAATGGGTTTTGGCCCGGTGTGTGCGCCTCGGTCTGTGATCCGGGGTGGGGTGGAAGGCATCTGGTAGGGGGAGACCTCCTAACGCCTGGTGAGGCAAGGCAGTACGGGGAAATCCGTCACCACTGGAGCTTTCGGCTATTCCTCTGTGTCTTCTGAGTAGTAAAAATGAGGTAGTTCTTTCCTAAAAAAATGCATAAGGTTAATATATATATGTCTGATAAAGCCAATTCTAAAAGCTTGTTATACTAGGCTACTAAAGGACCTTTTAAATTTGGGGACCAAACCCCAAATTATAAGTCAATTTTCAGCCAATAGATTCCTGATGCTAAATTTACACTTCAGTTAAAGTCTTCGTACGTACAGCTGTGGTGTGTGGGTGAAATGCTGTGGTACAGCACAGATTCACCAAATCTGAAGTCTGTTGGAAAATCGGCTGTGAAATTTTACCTGCTCGAGTCAGTGGCGGTCATAAAACAATCACTGTGGGGATGTTTTATTTAGATTTTTTTAGGTTTAATCACCTATGTTGTCTTCCTTCATTTTTTTTAATTAATGTGCTCTTTAAATGTCAAACGTTGTGTTCACAATGTTACCTACAGATCAGTTATTAATAATGTGCAAAATTCAGTTACCCAAAGCGTAGCTCAAAAGAGCTGAAGAAACAAAAAGTTTACATATCTGATGTGAGCCTTGAAAGCTGGGTGTATCTGTATACAAGGACATCTGGACGTATTCAGATTTCCAGCTGCAAAAATTACCTTTTGTTGGTAGGAAATTATGAAATGTTAAAACCTCAGCATCGTAACAACTGCGTGCTCGTCTCCCCGTTCGTGCTCTTAAATTGTAAGTAATCCCTGCGACCGCTTCTAGGAGTCCTTGGACCGTGGGTTCATTGTCTTAACCATCAGAAATCTAGGCACAAATCGTACAAGATGTTGAGTAGTGCGAGATCAGCTTCTAGAGCTTTGTTTTGAGAGATTTTAGAAGATGTATGGGGACGGTGAGCAGGGAAGGAAGATAAGGGAACCCGTGGTGTAGTGTGTTTTTTGCTCTGGTAGAACCAGATGTACTTTTATCTGTACAGATGTATCCAAGCCAAGAAACTGAAGTCTGGGAACTGGGCTTTGTTTTGGTTATTGCATATCTCTTCTAGTATTACTGTGCAAGTAAATGTAGCTATTTATGCTACCGTATTTCTTAGGCCTTATTCAATGACTTAGTTTTTCAACCTTTTTTTTTTTTTACTCTGTGCCTTTTTAACCTGTTTTTCTCCCCCTCTTCTTCCTAATGATTATTCTTAAATGCACAGCCTCGACTTTTAAGATTGTAGTGGAAGTTTTCTTACAGTTTCATTATGCTGCTGTTATCAGTGAAGGCCTGATGAGATCCATGAGTTTACCTGTGGAAACAAGTATGTTGGTAATGATTGAGTCTTTAAACAATGTACAAATGAAATGAAACTGCTAACTGAGCTCTTCAGCCATGACAAGGGGTCAGGTACATAAAAAGTTGCCTTATCAGCAGGACCATTTGTTAAAGAAAAACAACCAAAAAAAAACACAGAAAACCACAACTTATTCTGATGAAGTAGTGGAAGATGAAGATACTTAAGTGACCTTTTCACTCTGAGAACTGCTTTATTGAAAGGCAACCAAGGGAACAGTGGAGTATTTTCTGGACACTAGAAGAACAGTTCTGTGGGATCAGCCTGCGGGTCTGTTCAGCTTAGCATCTGGTCTCAACAAGTGGGCAACAGTTTATGCATAGGAAAGAATAAAAACAATTGCGTTCACTAGGAAGTTGCTGCTTTTTGGTGGAAAATGTATTTGTTGGTAATGTACTAATTTAAGATTCTGAATGTCTTTTTTGCAGAGAATCAGAATGACTAAAAAAAGGAAACATCAAGAAGACTTCCAGAAAGTGAAATTAAAAGTTGGGAAAAAAAAGCCAAAATTAGAAAATGCAACAGACACCACCTTCAAAACAAAGACCATACAAATTCCTGAGCAGCTTAAAGAAGATGGATTGCTTACTGCACAGAACAGAAAACTTAACATAAAGGTATATTGTGGTAATACGTTCTGAAGTGACAGATAACGACTTGACATTTACGTGTACCTTCTGCTTTCCTTTGCGTTGTCTTCCATATCTTGCAACTCTTAAGCTGAAGAGAGCTGTTGAGACTAAAATTTTCTAGTTCTACTTTTGAGACGAGCTGTGAGAGGACATCTTTTGGTTGTGCCTCTGTTAAGTCAGTAGGCTTGTATGTATACTTGAGAACGACAGTTATGTAATTACCTGAAGGACAAGTTATGGTATCTTGTTTTTCCTGTTGTTGAATATTGCTGATTTGTTCATTGTTTAAACCAATATTACGTTTGTTTTGAATTTACTACGCTGCTACAGACAGCAATACGTCATTGGAACAGATTCTGTATTTTCTAATATTTATAAAAAAATGTGCTAGAAAATAGGTGAGGAAATTTAAAGAGTTTAGAGTGATAGTGAAAGCAAATGTTTGTGTTTCTTTCCTTGTAGGATCTGCTTTCACAGATGCACCATTACAGTCCTGGGGTTAAGCAAAATGCACTTCTTGGGCTCAAAGAGCTCCTGTCTCAGTATCCGTTCATAATCGATGCCCACCTTTCGAATATAATAAGCGAGGTGGCAGCTGTGTTTACAGACAAAGATGCTGGTGTCAGAGGAGCGGCTGTTCACCTGCTTCAATTCTTGGCTTCCAAAATAAGAGCTGAACAGATTGCTCCGTTTTTCCCCTTGGTAAGTGCCCATCTCTCCAGTGCCATGACTCACATCAGCGTGGGAATTCAGGAGGATTCACTGAAAGTCCTGGATGTTTTATTGGAAGCGTACCCAGCTCTCCTCACAGACCGCAGTGTTATATTGCTGAAGAATTTTGTCGAGCTTATCTCTCACCAGCAACTGTCCAAAAGACTGAAGAGCAGAGAGAAACTCTCCTGGATGCTGTCTGTTAACCCGAACCGCAGGGTAACTTCTCAGCAGTGGAGGCTGAACGTCCTCATCAGGCTCAAGAAGTTTCTCCAGG